TTGTTGTATTTGTTTTTTATATTCATAAATTATTACTAATATACTAAAATTTAATTGATCTGAATTATTTTTTACCTTTCGTATTTTTTTTTAATTGAATCAATTTAGAAAATAATTAATTTCATCATATCTTTACTAATAAGCGTACCATGAAAGCATTGTTGATTTATTTTAAACGAATCATTCTTACAGTGAATTCTATTAAATTATCTCTTTAATTAATACTTTAAAATACTTCGCTAAAGGTTTTGAACTTCCAAATGAACAAAAAAAATTCTTTCTTTTCGAAATTCAAATTTTATTATTATTACATTGCATCACGCTTCAAAAAAATAATTTTTTAACCTTCGACATTTTTAAATTCCATATTATTAATTTTTATTGCAGTAAGTAATTTATGAAAATATTTAAAAATAAAAATTTCGATCTTTTGTACGTTCTAAGAAGTATTTTTTAACTTCGCAATTTTGGTCCGTTTTTTGGAATAACAAAATAGAAAATTTTCGAAAATTCAAACTATTTTTTTTCTTATTCAACGAAATTTCAAAAATAAAAAACTAAGAAAAAAATAATTTTACCTATTTTCGGTTTGAGAAATATGGATAAAACCTCACTATATATGCAAATCGAGTCAATGAAGTTCAATACAAATCGAGAATTGTGCGAGATTCTTTAATAACTTTTATTCAAGTCGCGCATATCATAAAGAATTCAAGAAAGGGAGATAAATTATTAATAATAATGGAACAGAGGCGGAAGTTATACACCAGACGAAAAGAAATATATAATCATCGCTTTATTATTGTTCTGACTTCAAATCTGAAAATAGCACTTGCAAAGTAGTATGGAATACAACTGTCAATCGTAATTAAAAAAAATAAAAAATCGTTATTTTCGTTACATAATTTTTTTTTTTTATTTCAAAGCAAAGTTTAAAATTTTACCTATACAGTTTATAATAATAATTAAATTATACAATATTTTTACACACAAAAAATTAATTTTTACTAATTTTTATGCTAATTAATGTTGTTGTAATTAATTTTTTTACTTACTAATGTTGTACTAATTAATTTTTATACTAATAATTGTTATGCTTATTAATCTTGTACTACATTAATTTTTTTACAAATTAATGTTGTACTAATTAATTTTTATACTAATTAATTTTTTTACTAATTAAGTTCTTTACTAATTAATGTTGTACTAATTAATTTTTATACTAATTAATTTTTTTTACTAATTAAGTTCTTTACTAATTAATGTTGTACTAATTAATTTTTTTACTAATTAATGTTGTACTCATTAATTTTATATAATTAATATTATCCCAGTTTTTCTGCGGATATCAAATTGAGACAAAAAACGAATAAAAAATGTTGCAAATTTTTTTACTAATTAAGTTCTTTACTAATTAATGTTGTACTAATTAATTTTTATACTAATTAATTTTTTTACTAATTAATGTTGTACTCATTAATTTTATATAATTAATGTTATCCCAGTTTTTCTGCGGATATCAAATTGAGACTAAAAACGAATAAAAAATGTTGCAAAGCAACATTTTTGATTCGTTTTTTGTCTCAATTTGCCATCCGCAGAAAATTTGTAATATTAATTAATTTTATACAAATTAATTTTAAAGATACTGTAAAAATTATTTTTACACATAAAAAAATATCATCATCAAAAACAATAATTAATTTTTCAAAAACCGAATTGAAAAGCAAGTTGGGAGAGACTTGTAATGAAACTGAAATTGAAACATCATCTGAAATAATTAAGAGCAAGAGTGAGAGAGAGACAGAGTCTCATTTCTGAGGAATTGCAGATGTGATTAAGGAATTTAATTGAATGCAAGGCACGTTAGTATAATGACACTCGAGGATCTTAGAAATTTAGTCTTAGACATTTGAAAGAGATGTTTAGAATTAGAAAAAAGGAGAGAAGGAAAAGTAGAAATATAGAAGGAGAAAAAGACACTACATTGAATTTTATTCAATTGATTGACAGTAGCTATGACAGCAATGCAAAAGAAAATCTTGGCTGACCTTTTGCGTCAAGGAATGTGATCACATCGATCGACTTCTCACGACCCTAAATACCAATTCAAGACAAATTGAAAGAGCATCATCCAACAACCAATAATCAATCTCAGAATATATATCAATCAACAAGTGTAAATATTGATTTAAAAAAAAAAAAATATCGCAAATGTTTTCTGGAAAATTGAAAATCGATTTTCAATTTGTGTTATTATTATTTTATTATTATTCCTAAAATTATCACTATTATTGTTACCATTATTATTACTTAATACCATTTCTAATTATAATTATTCGCTTGTATCTAGAATTAATTACTAATAATAACGACTGAAATATAATATGAAAATAGTATTATAATTTATTTAATTTATTAATTATTTGTAAACTATTATTACCGTCATTATTACTAAATAATTTTAATTATGTGCAAATAATTATAATTGGTAATAATAATTAATTTTTATAATATTATATTATTTTTACAGAATTTTACATCATCATTATTATGTTAATTATTATTAATTATTATAACGAATCTATAATTATTTACAAATAATTATAATAAATTAATAATAATTAACATAATAATGATTGCAATATTATAAAAATAATATTATTTTTAAACTATTTTTACTGTCATTATTAGTAAATAATTTGAATTTTGGGCAAATAATTATGATTAGTAATTATTATTTTATTATTATGTTTATTATTAATTTATGTTAATTATTATTACTAATTGTAATTATCTATGCATAATTATATTTAAATAATCCAAAAGTTTTTAAACATCAAATGAACAAAAAATATTTTTTATTAAAAATATTTTCATAAATTACTGCGATTATAATAAAAATTAAAATCCTTTCTTTTACATTTAGAAACTTTATAATTAAGTTTTCTCATAGTGGCACAAAATTATTGCAATAAAAACTTAATTTGAAGAAGAAAATAATATAATAATATAATAAAATAATAAAAATAGAATAAAATATAATATTATTTATTATTACAAATTGTAATTTATATTTATTTATTTGAAAATAATATTAATTATTTGTAATTATTTGTACCTAGATAATTATAATTTATTAATTAGTTAATTAACTATTATTATTAATTTAGCTATTTATACATTTTATTATAATTATTATTAGTAATTAACTAATTAATCATTATAATTACCTACGTACAAATAATTACAGTTAGTAATAATAATATTATAATAAAATAATAATAAATAGAGTAAAATATAATAATAATAATAATATTATTTATTATTGCTAATTGTAATTATTTGTACGTAGATAATTATAATTATTAATTAGTTAATTACTAATAATATCTAATTATATTAAAATATTTAAATAGCAAAATTAATAATTAAAGTTAATTATAAAAATTAAATTAAAAATTAAAAAAAAATAAATTAAATAAAATTAAATAGTTAATTATAAATCACTTTTTGTTAAAGTAATAAAAAATCAAATCTGTGACTCCCATAGGGTTAAGTAGGTCAAAAGAAGACCCGAAGAAACCAAAAAAAAAAATTCGCAAAGCATTAAGAAATTTATATCGATAAATATAGGTATATTTTTTGTAAAACAGAAATTCTTTTGACACGAAAAAATTTGTTTTCATTATTTTTATTACTTTGAAAGAAAAAATTAAATTATCGCACCCAAATACCTAGTTTCTTTTCTCAGAGGAAAAAGAAGAAAAATATATAAATAAATATAATAAGCTTTTAATGAAGCTTCTTTGTCGAATAAAAATAATAATAATAATAATAATAATAATAATAATAATAATAATAATAATAATAATAATAATAATAATGATAATAATGATAATAATAATAAAAAAGAAATGAAGGCAGAGAAGAAAAATAGAATGCCATAAAGGAAGATATTAAGAATTAAGGTCAGTTCGGACTCTGTATTCAATCCTTGGAACGGATAAGAGAGGAGAGACTGTTTCACGTGAGTAAGCCAGCACTTTTACCTGAATGATTTGGACGGCCTCGTTAAGAAAGGGAACGCGATTTTCGTCGGAGATTACAATTTACGACTAAAAACCTTTGTTTCTATATGGAACCTGGGCAATAACTTAAAATTCGATTTCATCACCAGCTCACACACACCACACGAACACGCAAACAAACACTTTTAAAAATTGAAGGCACCCAAATAAAGAGACCATCAGAAAAAGAAAGAAGAGTAGCTAATAAAGATTTTTTTTTCTTTTTTTTTACAAATAATTGAAAACAACAACGCAATAAAAATAATTTTCTCAAATAATTATAAAAATAGAATAAAAATAAAATAACGTACTAAAAAATTTATTTCGATTTCAATCAATAAATTTATTTCAATTTCAAAAAAACTTTTAATTTAATTTAGAATTTATTTATGCCAAAATAAATAAAAATTAAATAATTTAAAAAATTAACCGTAATACTTTTTTACAAACCAAGAAAAATTTATTTTAATTTAAATTGATTCATCAAATAAAAATAATAAAGAACTTGAAAAATAAAAAAATTTAATTAACAATTTAAAATTAAATTTCAAAAAGTTAAATAAAGAACTTATAAAACTAAAAAATTTAATTAAAAATTAAAAATTAAAAATTAAATTTCAAAAAGCTAAATAGAAAAAATCAGAAAGTTAGAGAAATTAAAATAAATTAATATTGAAATGAGAATTTGACAAAAAAATTAATTAAATTACATTAATAATTAATTTAAGTGACAAAATTTTAATTTCTACTCTTTGTATTAAATCTTATCAATTTTAAAATATAAAACTATAAAAATTCACCTGAAACTCAAAAGTAAACTTAACGATTCTCTCGCCAGGTGGATAAATTTTATGAATACGCGAACAAATCGAGCGCAGATTTTTCCCTTCTAACTGAATTTACTATTTATGGGCCCTAAGGCCCAGGCTATTTTTTTGATGAAGGGGTAGTTTACCGTTACACGCGTCTCGACAGTCACTCATTTCGAGGCATTATATAAACGAAAAATACGTTTCAAAAATGTTTATTCAAACTTGTGCAATTTATTCCCATTAATGTCAAATTTACCGCACGGAACAATAGAATTTATTTGAAAACTTTAAACACTCTGGAAAATAGCAACAATAATAACAATAACAACAACAAAAATAAAATACAAAATTTACGTAAGTTTAAAAATTATAATGATACCAAATAATTGAAATCAATTAACACAAGCACGAAAATAATAAAAATAATAAATTTTATATTTTAAATTTACTTTGCATTTACTTTTTTCAATTTTTACTTATTAAATAAACAATAAAATTGTCGATTTTTATTTAGTTAATAAATTGAATAATAAAATTGCCAATTTTTATTTAGTAAATAAATTGAATAATAAAATTGCCAATTTTTTATTTAGTAAATACATTAAATATTAAATTGACAATTTTTATTTAGTAAATAAAATTTAATAATAAAATTGACAATTTTTATTTAGTAAAATAATTTAATAATAAAATTGACAAATTTTATTTAGTAATTAAATTTAATAATAAAATTCCCAATTTTTATTTAGTAAATAAATTAAATAATAAAATTGACAATTTTTATTTACTAAATAAAACTAAAAGATAAAATTAGCAATTTTTTTTCATTAATTAAATAATTGTAACAATAAAACTGATAAGAAATTTCCGTTATAACGTGCGAATAAAGTTTGACCTTGAAAATCACAGATAAAATAAAGTTCAACTCTTATTTAACACACAATTAATAATAAACAATTTTACAATAGAATATGAATATCAACGAGAAAACTTTTAAATACCAACTTTAAACATTTCAGAATAAAATGCGACTGTATCAGTAATTTAATTTATTTCCCACACCAAAGAAAAACATGTGTCACGAAATTTTGTGAAAATCAAACGAATTTATATAAATTAATTTGTTCAAGGTAAGTTATTCATTGTTACGTCTATAAATAAAAACAAAATAATTGAAAAATAATAAAAACATTTTTCTTTCGCCTTTTTTTTATAGCAAACATTTTTTTTCTATAACGAATATTTAAAAATAATAATAATGAACGAGGAAACTGATAAAACGACAAGTATTCAATCATTGAATGAAATGAATGAAAGAAATTCAATGGAGGACAACAACAAAAATAACCGGAAATCTTTTCAAGAGGCTTTTCAACAATATTTCATGTCGGAAAATCAAATGCAAGAATCAATAACAACAACAATGAGCGATGATGATGAAGAAGATGATGACAATGACAAAAACAATAGCAATGATTTTCAAAGTGCTTATGAGAAATGGTTGAGGAGTAGTGTTTATCATAGTAAGAGTGAATTACCTCATCACGATGATGACAAAGAATTTTTAAATAACAACAATCACAAAAATGAAAACAATTAATTCAAATAGTTTTCTTTTAAACGATTTTCATTTTTTTTTAAAGTGATCTTTAAATATTTGTTTCCGATTCTATTTTTTTCTGAAAATTGTTATTATTCCCATAATTTCAATGTTCTACTATAATTTCGTTATTTTTTAAATTATTTTATTTATTTTAATTTATAAATTTTTTAATAAAAAATTGATTTTTAATCAAAAATTGTTTTTTAATTAAAAATTAAAAAAAAAAATTTGTTTAAATTCAAGGAATTGAAATTAATTTTGAATTTAATTCGGATTTTCTTATTTTATATCCATTGTATTTGTTATTAATAGAAATATCAGTATTTTCACACAGACACTAAGAAAATGTACTTTAATTTAAATAAACGATTACTCGACTGTTATCAATTATTGTTTTGTAAATAATAAATAATTAATAAATCCAATCAAATTTTCTTGAAATTATTACAAATTTTATTACGTATTCGCAATTTTTAATAATTCGAAAATCAGAAAGTTATTCAAATAAACGAAATATTTTTTCGAATACAAAAATTTTCAAAAATTGTTATTTTAATTAAAAATCTAAAAGGTAAATTAAACATTTCAGAAATTTTATAAATTATTTTTCCATACGTGGACGCAATTATTATTTATTATTATTATAGAATTTGAATTTACGAAATAAAAAATAAATTTCGAACCTTCGAAACTTTTACATTAATTTATTTCTTTGAATTGTATAATTTTTTTCCATTCAATTTTTTACTTTACAAATTTGAATTTCATTTTTACTATACTATAAATATCATTTTTAATAATATTCGCTTATAAATGAAATCTATTTTTATTTACACACGCCGCGTCAGGAAACAATAATAATTTGTAATGCGATAGTTATAAAGTACAAAAATATAAATGACTTTAACAATTATTATTTTTTTTTCGCATGAAGTGCAAAAGACAGATAGAATTCTCCGGATTGAGATCTCGTAAGGAATTCGAACTCGCGATAAACTAGTAGAATATTTCTCTTTCTCTTTTTTTTAAATATAGTCACCAAGTAGATTATCCGCACTAATCAAAAACGTGATATAGTTCTACTCCTCCACTTGAATGACGTAATTTATTCAACGACCACGATGATCGTAATGTAAAAAAAATTATCTAATTAATTAGAAATTAATAATAAAATAATAAAAAAAAAAGTTAAAAATAAAAAGTAACAATAATTTATTTATTTATTTTCAAAACTAAACGGGACATAATCATAATGTAAAAATTAAATTTCAATTATAAATTAATAATAAAATAATAAAAAAAGTAAATTATAAAAAATAAGAATAAATTATTTATAAGTAACAATAATAATTAATTATTTACAAAAACAAACGGGAAAATCCCTTTAGTATATTTTATTATTGTTTACATTATTATTATCATTATTATTTCAATTATCATTTATAATAATAATAATTATTACTATTATTATTTATTTTATTAGATATTAAATTTGCTTCTAAAAAATGTATTTAAAAAATAATAATAAAGCAAATGATAAAAAATTAAAAAAAAGAGAAATCTATTCATTAATTAAAAATGATCCTAAAGTTCTGAACGTTCAAATGAACGAAATTTATTTATTTTCTTCTTTAATTTAAATATTTATTACAATAATTTTTTGTCGATATAAAATAAATGAAACATAAAGTTTCTAAGTGTGAAATTTAAGTTTTTAATTTTTATTGCAAACAATAAATTATAAAAACATTTCTAATAAAAAGTGTTTCGTTCATTTGAACGTTCAAAACTTGTGGATCATAATTAAAAACACAACGCTATACATATAATCATATAAAATAGCAAATATTTTAATTTCAATTTTCAATTTAAAAAATTAATTGCCCACGCGGAAAATCGAAATAAAAAAAATAAATACAGAAATTACGATAATCTTTGAAATCTACATTCGAAATATAAATCCGACAGTGAATATATTTATGTAAATTAGAACGGGAGAAAAAAATTGATTCCACAATAAAGCCAAAAGAATAATTAGAATGATTGATGCGTAGTAAAAAACTAATGGCAAATTATAATATTCCAAGATGATTTAAATTAAAAATTTTTTTTTGACATTTGTTAATGATGATTCCTTGTAGTAAAGAGAGTTTGGAATTTTTTTTTTTCAAAGATTATTAATACATGTGAAATAAATATTTTGTCCCAGTTGAAATTTATATATATATATATATATATACATTAATCCTCTCTATACTTCGCACTGCCAATCCTCTCTTTGCCAACGATAAAATTTTTTATAGCCGTTACAAATTGCTTTGCCATGAATGCATTTTTTTTAAACTGATATATTTTCATATTTGGAAAATATTTTCCTCGATAATAAATTGTTACAATTTCCCGTTCGAGAAATAACTCAAAAATTTGTGCAAAAAAAAAAAAAAAAAATAACAAACAAAGGGCGTAATAAATAAATAATAACAAACAAACAACAAGAAAGGACGTAAATAATTAATTATAGAATAAAAATAAAATGGCAATAAAATAATAATAAAATAGCAATTAATTACTATTATTATTATTGTTATCATTATTATAAAAATATAAAAATACAATTTTCTGAAAATTCGCACTTAATTTCGGATTCAAGAAAAAACCACTATTGAAAAATTTGCAATGAATATAAAAAAACATGAAAAAGCCATTTAATGAATGATTTTTCTAAAAGGCTTTTCTAGTCGATGGATTGTTGTGAAGATAATTATAAAAAAAAAAATTCAAACACACACACACGCGATAAAAATATGTATTCAAGTTCAACAGAGTGACGACACAGGATAAAGCAAATTTTCGGTTCTATGAGAAAGGCTAATGAATTCAGTGTTGTGAGAATGAATAAAAATTGTGAAGACGAAAAAAAAATAGTAGAGGGGGAAGGGAGGTGAAAAAAAAGGTTTTTGCATCGATTTTGTTGTGTGCTCAGTAAAGCAGAAGCAAATTGGTTAAAGTCGAGTTCAATCTCCATAATATATTATATATAGGTATATATTGAAAAGGTGATACGACGACGACAACAACAACGTAAATTCTTGTCTCGAAGAAAAAGAAAAAAAAAAGAAATGTAACACGAGACTTGCAAAATGAAACGAAACAATGTTTCACAAAGTATTCTATAACAACAAGTTATATAGATTTTATATACGCGCTTATATTCGTTATGCAATCGGAAAAATTTCATGTTCAACATAAACAAATTTTTTTTCAAAAAAAAAAAAAAAAAAATTCTCCCTTGATAGACAAGCTGACACCTTACATAATATTTTAAGACAGCGAATTATATATCACGCTATAACAAAGTTTACTTTCATAATTTAACTTCTGGTCTTTACTTTCTCTCTCTCCTTCTTTGAAAATATGTAAAATAATTTTTCTCTTCTGGTAAATATAAGAGACCAGAAAATAAAGTGTAAATAACAAATAATTAAATAGAAAATAGAAAGAAAATAAAAAGAAAAAAGTAAATAAAAGAAAAATAAGTAAATAAAAAAGAGAAAAAGAAAATAAGTAAACAAAAGGGAAATAAGTTAATAAAAAAAGAAAATAAGTAAATAAAAAAAATAAGTAAATAAAAAGTAAAAAGTTGACAAAACACAAAAGTGAAAAATTCGCTACGAACAATTTTTTTAATGTTAAAACGAAACAATTAATATTTATCATATATTATTAAATATCCCGAAGCGATCGAATAAATAGATTCCCAATTCTTGTGTGTTTAAAACACGATTTGCAAAATATTATGTAAGTATAGAAAAGCGAATACAATGCTTTTCGATGGAAAAAGTTTTCTTAAAAGGTCATCGCCCTGAGGTCGCGAGCGAATCGTCGAATATCGCAATATCTTGAGGCTCTCATTGAAAGAGAAATCGCTTTTTCCGTAGAAAGTTCCGTTTATCCATTAACGCATTTACTCTAGAGCGAAAAAAAAATTTTTTTACGCAAATTATATATTTTAATTATCGACGAAAAGAAAGAAAATCAAAAATCCCCCGCCCCTAAAAAAACACCGATAGAGAAAAACTACCAAAAGAATAAATATAAAAAAAAAGAAATAAAATGACATTGAACCAAGAAAAATCGTGTGTTGATTCAAGGTATACATAATAATATTTCGATGTCTATATTTCTTATCGCCTTTCAGATATTCCTGTCAAGTCGCATTACACATGAAATTTCAATTTCTCAAGAATTGTTTTCCCATATAAAAAAAAGCTTTTTTGATCTGAAAAAAGCGGAGGAAAATTTTTTTTTTTCACAGACCCTGAACCTCTTTTTTTTTCCTCATCAATGTTTTTTTTCACAATTCACTTTTCCCTGACCGATAAAAGAGAGGAGACACCTTGACTTTTTTTCTCTCGACGACAACGACAACTCGGGGGGAGAGAATATTACAAAAAAGAAATTAATGAAGGAAGTCAATAAAATTACTCCCATTTTGCCGTAAAACGTAAACGATATCCGGCTAAATATAGTAAAGTTGGGTTTTTAATGTTTTTTTTCCCTATATGCCCCCCTCTCCAAAACAATATGTATATATATAAAAGGTGTAATTTTGCAAACGAGTTTTGCATCGCAATTACACGTATTATTATTACTCAGTTCGCTTATATTTGATGTAAAAGTGTGTAATTGCATCCTCTTATTCGAAAGACCCGTACCGTTGCTGTGCGTGCATCAAACTGGGTACTTAATCGGTTTGTCCTTCATGAAAGAAGAACGAGGTGTTCAAAAGAAACATGATAAAAAAAAGAAATGAAGCAAAAAAAAAAAAAGAAGAAGATTCATGAAAAAAAATTATTATATATATAAATCGCCTCGACGAACGAAAATTGCGTGTTTAAAAAAATTCTGATTTCAAGAAATGAAACACAAAAATTGAAAAAAGTTGAGAAAAAAATTCTATTTCGTATAAAATATTCTATTGTCGATAAGCATTGTTCCGTGATTTTTCGAGAAAGAGAGAGAGAGAGACTTTTTATTTTTCGACGTGTACTGATAATTTTCAATAAGATAATGCTGACTTGATCCCGGATATCAGAGACACTATGATAAGAATGAGTAATTGTGAAATAATCGTCCTTAAGACTAACGACAAAAAAATATCCTTTAACTATTACCAAAAAATCATCACTAAAAAATACACTCTTATTTTTCAAGTACTGATTATGTAAAATAAAAGTATATCAAATGTCAAATTTCTATTTGCCTTATTTTGGAAGTGAGATCTCATATATTCAATATTGACTTACGAGAGAGAAAAAACATATAAGTACTGATTAAAAATATCACAGTTCTAAATAAGAATCATCACCGAAAGTAAATATTACCCGGTCATTCACATTTTTTCGTGATAAAAATGCACAGAGGTTAAAATTGACTATTTTCTTAATTCTTAAAGTGGAAAAATCTACTGAAGACAGAATACGAACATTGAAAAATACCACATACACAAAAAGCAAGTACCTTCAAATTAAAAAAAAAGACAAAATACTTTCGAAACCAGGGCCATTAAAACTCTCCTGGAATCATCGTCTGTACCGTCTTGTATACTAAATTACTAATGTACAAAAAAAGGAAACTTAACCTAAAAAAAAGAACAAGAAGTTTTTTTTCAACTGTTGGTTGTTAAACCAATTAAATTGAAGAACGTATTACATACCTCTAAAAACGAACAGTTACAGTTGCATCACCAATTGTTCAAAATAAAACAAATTATTCCAAATCCGCAATAGAGAATAAATTGCAAACTTCACTCCTAATAAATTTTCCCCCCATTTTTTACTGTTATGCATTCGCGCAACAAACAATCTAATTAAATAATTAAACCTTATAAAACCGAACGACAACTCACAATTTCCCCATATAAAATCAAAATTCATGTCAGGCGCTAAAGGAGATAACGAGACCGTGAATGTCGATCGACTCGTTCTCCATTCAATTGATAAAAAAAAAGAGAAGAAAAAAAAAACCTCTCAAGAGCCTTCGTTCACCAGATCAAATATACTCTTGAACAATAAACCGGTTCAGGCGGGAGAGAAAAATCACAAGTAAATCTAGAACATTTTGAAGAGAACTTACCACGGAATCCCACAGGTTCCCCTTGTCGTTGACAAAACTCCTCATCGGTTTTCAACCCGCCGTCATATTCCACCTGGAATAGCACTCACAACAAAGTTTTTCACTGTGCACTGGCGTCAGACGCATACTACTCCACGGGATACGCGAAAGGATAAAGCTGCAGGACGCCAAGTTGACAGGTTGAACATGAGCACAAACACAACGCGACACAAAACTTAACTTTAATTATCCAAGTCACAATTATATATTTATTTTTATTCGGTCAAGGAGCATTATATACGAATTGATGTTATTGAATTCCAAACACGTTCTGTCGTACTCCAGGCGGCTCTATATTAACACAGCACGATCACGATAACATGGTTGATCATGGCGGACTAGTGGACTAGTTCGTGCGTCTTCGGCTCTCTTCGGAAAAAGAAAAAAAATGGCGCCCGCGCGCCATCTAGTTCGGTTCGCGCGGGAAATTTTTTCAAATTCAAAATAAATTAACTTTTTTTCAAGTTGTTTAATTTAATAAAATGTAATTATTTAAACGCAATAATTATGTAAATGTGTGATAAATATGTAAACGCATATAAATATGACGTAAAACATTTAATAAAAATAAAATTTTTTATAAATTAATGAAAATTGAATAACATATACAATTAAATTAAATTGCAACAAAAAACTATTGTTTTATTAAAAAAAATGTTGTTTCAAATTTTTTTATTATTTTCGCATATAAATAGTGGGGGAAATTTTTTTAAATTGAAATAAATTAGTTTTCTGACGTTTTTACTATTTTTCACTTAATAATTTTATAACTATACATAAATAGATTAGAAATAAATACTAATAAATTATTAATTAATAATAATTTATAAATAAATAATTAAGTTTAAATAATAAATAATTAATAAATTAGTAATTTAATTATTAGTAATTTTAAAAAGTGGTAAAAATTAATAATAAATTAGTATTTGAAAATAAATAAATATAAATAAAATTATAAATAAAAATATTATTTTTACAAACTTAATAATTTTTTACCTAAACAAAAATAGAATAAGATTAAATAAAAATTTAATTTTTCAAATACCTAATTTAATACCATTTTAATTAAATTACAACAAAAAATTAGATAGTAAAAATTTCTTTCAATTTTTTAATTAAATTGATAATTGGTACAAAAAAAGTAAAAAAAATAATAATTGTAATTATATAAATTATTTTTATTTAAAGACAAACAAAAAATATACAAAAAATTGAAACAAAAAAAGCGAAGGAATAAAAACACAAATTGTTAAATATTAAAACTAAAATTAAAATTGAAATTAAAATTAAAATCAAAATCAAAATTAAAATCAAAATTAAAATCAAAATTACAATAAAAATTAAAATTAAAATAATAGAATAAAATTCTATGAATATAATAGAATTCTTTTCTTTCAAATATAATATTTATTATCCTTTCCAGTCCATATTAAACTATCGACCTCATTTGATTTAATACAATATATAATTAATTATAATAATAATTAAATTTTAAAAGTGTACAATACATTATTGAAAATATAATCACATATTTTGTATATAAAATTAAATTAAAATCAATATAAATCTAGTGTTTTTGATAAAAAAAACGTCAAAGAATCAAAATGCTATAAACAGATCTTTCGTGTAATGAAATTAAAAATTAAAAATCAAATTTGTACACTGTGCCTAATCGAATAGTACACAGCACTATAATTTAGTTATAATTTTCGTTTTTCTCTTCTTTCAGGCACAGAATTAAATTTGCTTAATATTATTTACATTATTTTTTAACATTAGCTGATGTAAAGCTAATTGAACGCGTAATTCTACGCACGCATCTTTCTCCTCAACAATACTGCGAATTAAAGTTGTCATTTTTTTCTAAAACAGAAAAATAAGAATTACATTTCTTTTTTTGAATATGTGATTAAATTCTAAAATTTCGATTAAGTCTTTTAAAAAATAACTTTTTTTTTAAGAAAGTCTTTTCTTAAAAATATATTCTTATATTCATTAACTTATTTTAACTACTTTTTTATATTAATTTTTCAATTGTTTATATTGTTAAAATTTTATTAATTTTTTTAAATATTTGATTAACTTTTAAAGTTGAATTAAATTTTGTTTATTATTTATTTTCGGTAAAATAATTAAATTTATTAAATAATGGAGCGAATAATAGAATTTTACCTCTAATAATTGATTTTCGCTTGTTAATTGAATAATAGCTGCTACATCAAGATCGTTGGGTGTGTGATTTTTGTCCCTTGATTTTGTCTCCTTGCTTCCTCGATCTGCAATCATTTCTAATAGCCTTTCAATCTCAAGTTTCTCCTGAATTAATCTTGTCTTTAATGATGTCTTCATATTCAAAAGTTCCTCGTGTATTAAATTTTCCCGCAGTTTATCAAGTGGATTCTCTACTATTGGTTCTGGCACTAAAAAAAAAATAATTCATCAGAAAATAAAAATGTGAAATTAAATAATTATTTTTAAAAATATTTGAGTAAAAAAAATAAATTAGAAAATAAACAAAAAATGGACAAAAGATACAAAAAATATACAAAAGAATTGTCAAAATAGTATTCCGGTAATCTGTTCACAGTTTGAAGTTAGTTGATTTAAAATTTTAGAAAATAATTGAATTTTTTCGAATATAACTGAATTTTTGCAAAGAATTTTACTATTTATAAATATAATTGAATTTTTGCAAAGAAGTTTACTATTTATAAATAAAATTGAATTTTTTCGAAGAATTTATAAAAATTTTAGAAAATAATTGAATTCTTTTAAAATATTTTCTATCGAATTAAGAAAAAAATTGAATTCTTTCGTGAAATTTTTTAGAAAATGATTGAATTCTTTTGAAAAATTTTATAACGAATTAAGAAAATAATTGAATTTTTGCAAAAAATTTTACTATTTATAAAAAATAATTTGAATTCTTACGAAGAATTATTCATGAAAATAATTGAATTCTTGCGAAGAATTTGATTAAAATTTTTGAAATTAATAAACAAGAATAATTAATTAGTAAATTAGTTAACAATTGAATTTTCTAAAAGTTTGAATCTGAAATTATTGAAAAATTAATATTTTTGAAAATAAAAAATTTTTTAATTTGCATAACAATAATAAATCGAAAATCACGTTCAGCGCGCATAACATTTGTTAGTAAATAAAATAAAGTTTAAAATATAAACGTGGAATTTTTTTGAATTTACATGAAACTTGACGTACCCTTTTCATTCGTTTCCGATTTACTAATTTCTTGAGCACCAACTTGACTAATTGAGCTCGATTCAACATGATCGACTGTATCTTTATCCAGTGAGGATGTTTTACTGTCTATTAATCCTGATCTGCTTTCTTTTAAATTATCACTGTTTCTCGATAGATTTTTCGAAACACTTTCAGATTGGACTTGAACTTGTGCTTGTTTTAAATCATCTTCCGAATTTGGTTTCAATGTTTGTTTACATTCTGCATTAATTTCGTCATTGGACTTTGTTTCTTCGTCGATACTTTTTTGAACCGTGCCCTCCAATTTTTGTACTGTCTTATACTTTCTCTGAATATCGAAAAATAATTCGCATTAAGAATAAATTGACAGAGAAAAACGTAATTAAGATTTAAATTCAAACTAATTAACGTTTAAATTTAATTTAAATTTAATTCAAATCAGTATTAATTTAAATTTAATTCAAGTAAGTAGTAATTAAAATTTAATTCAAATTAGTATTAATTTAACTTTTAATTTAAATTCATATTTCTATGTTTGAATGGAAAAAAGGAAAATTGATTTTTGATTTTTGTTACCTTCAATTGCGTAATCATACGCTGCACTTCCCACAATTGTTCTTCTCTGGATTTTGTCACAAAACCTGCATTCATTTGCATATGAATTTGCGAAAGTAGTGATTCTTGTTTTGCTAATTCAGCCGCTATGCTTTCGGCATTATCGGGCAAACAATTGCTGCCAGCCGAAAGTGGAGGAATGTATTTTGACAATTGAATATTGGGAAAAAGAGCTTTGCAATGAAACAATAATGCCAATAATAAACGATGGCTCATTTGCAAAACAGGACTCAATGTCATTGCAATTGTTTGAGCGTTCATTTTTGTTGTTTTTTCCTAAAAGAAAAAATGAATTTCCATTACATTTCCATTATAGATTTTCATTATACTTTCTTTAACAATTATAAGAAAAAAGAAATCGTATTTAATTTAAATTCTAAATTTTAAATTAGGACAAAATTCGACAATGTTAAAAGTAGATATTTTCTTTTTCTGTCGGAAAAAATACTTACACACATTGTAATATGGTCTAAATGTAAAATAACCCAGGCGAGAAGAACTCGATTGCATTCAGGTAATTGTTGTGTCAATTCCGCAATTTGGGATTCCCTTTGTGCAACTTCTTTGGTCGAAGCTGCTTGTTCAAAACGTGATATGATTTCACTGGTTTCCAATACAGGTTCCGGTAGATCTCTAAAAAGAAATTCTTTTTTTATCATAAAAATAATGATAATACATTAATTATTCTTATAACAAAACAATTCTTTTTAACAAACAAATTATTTAACAATAATTGTAAAACATTATGTAGTTTTATACAAACAAAAAAAATTCTTTTTCACAACGAAAATAATTATAAAAAACAGTAAATAATTTTATAGGAAAATAATTATTTTTTGACAATACAAATAATTATATTAATAATTTGTTAATTAGTTCATGAATTAATTAGTTTTATAACAAAAAAAATTCTTTTTCATAACAAAAATATTTATAAAACGTATTATAATAAAGGAAACTTTTTTTTCTAATAAAAAAATAAATCATTAATTAGTTTGTATTATCATGAATGTGAATTCATTAATTTAAAAAATTGTGAATTTTAAAAATCACTAATTCGAGAAAAGGTCAAATTAAATTGACAGTAATTGTGTAGTCGATAAAGCTGAAAGTGTATTAATTAAATTAAAAATTAATTTACTTACAAAGCGGAAATAAAGAATAGAATAAATAATAAATTATTAATGAATAATGAGGAATAAAATTTGATGCTGAGACTATGGATTTAGAAATTGGATTGACCAACCTTAAGAATAAAGTTAACAAACTAGCAGCAACAGTTGGTTCAAAATCGGCAATATTTACACATTCACGTTGATTATACATTTTTTTTAAACTCTGAACTTTTGACTTTACTCCTGGGACTTTGTAAATTCCTTCAACAGACATTCCATGTTCCTCAACAAAATCGATACAATCCCTAACAACCAATGGCAATTCCACACCATCATGACAACGACTTCTTTCAACTGCTAAATACAAACTAACACCAAAAATTGGCTGTTCTTCTGTAAAATTAAAAAAAAGAAAACATACAGATTTAAAGAATTCAAGTAATCGATACATATTCTAATAAAAAAATATATTTGCTTAATTCGAAGTAATAAAGATCATTTGCGAGACTAATTCAGTGTCTATAAAGTAAATAAATAAATATTTCATTAAATATTAAATTCAATATTTCATTAAATATTAAATTCAATATTTCATTAAATAGCAAATTAAATACTTCATTAAATATCAAATTAAATATTTTATTAAATATCAAATTAAATATTTTATTAAATTTCAAATTAAATATTAAATTAAAAAGAATTACCGCCGATATCCAAGCATTCTTCTCCATGCTTTCCTTTCTTTCGATCCTTTATTTTTTGCTTTGACTTTTCTTTATCTTTTCGCTTTTCTTTATCACCGTCCTTTTCGTCCTTGTCCTTTTTCTTCTTGTCTTTATCCGAATCTTTCTCTTTTCCATCTTTCTCTCGAGACTTTTCACGCTTTTCCTTCTTTGTCGGAAACTTAAAGGCTTTGGTTTTTTTATATTTTGAAGGACTTCTAAAATTTGCAAATAAAAGTAAATACTTTATAAAATACTTTATTACTTATAAAAATAATTCGATTCTTGCGATGAATTTTGTTAAAATCTTTTAAAATAATTGAATTCTTTCAAAGAATTTAATTAAAATTTTTGAAAATAATTAAATTTTTCCAAGAAATTTAATTAAAAATAATTCAATTCTTCAGACGAATTTTGTTAAAATTTTTTCAAGAAATTTAATAAAAAATAATTGAATTCTTTCGATAAATTTTATTAATATTGAAAATACTTGAATTCCTGTGAAGCACTTTATTATTTATAAAAATAATTCAATTCTTGAGACGAATTTTGTTAACATTTTTGAAAAAAATTGAATTCTTTCGAAGAATTTCATTAAAATTTTTGAAAATAATTAAATTTTTTCAAGACATTTAATTAAAAAGGTTTAAGAAATAATGAATTCTTTCGAGTAATTTTATTAAAAATGTATTGAAAATAATTGAATTCTTTCGAAGAATTTCCATTAAAATTTTTGAAAATAATTACATTTTTCCAAGAAATTTAATTAAAAATAATTGAATTCTTTCGATAAATTTTATTAATATTGAAAATAATTGAATTCCTGCGAAGCACATTATTATTTATGAAAGTAATTCAATTCTTAAGACGAATTTTGTTAAAATTTTTGAAAATAATTGAATTCTTTCGAAAAATTCCATTAAAATTTTTGAAAATAATTAAATTTTTTCAAGAAATTTAATTAAAAATATTTAAAAAATAATTGAATTCTAATCAAAAATTTTATTAATATTGAAAATAATTAAATTCTTTTCAGAAGTAAAATGTATTGAAAATAATTGAATTCCTGCGAAGCACTTTATTATTTATAAAAATAATAAAACATAAAGTAATAAGAAAAAATAAAATTTGTAAAAATACAAATTATCGAAGAAAATAAAAATTTTTTCGAGGAATTTAATTTAAAAAATTATACTGAAAATAATTGAATTTTTCTGAAGAGTTTTATCAGAATTTTCATAAATAATTGAATTTAAAGAATTTTATTAAAATTTTTTAAAATAATTTTGATATCCTTGTTAATTAATAAATATCCTTCAAGAAATTTCATAGAAAACAATTGAATTTCTCCGAAGAATTTAATTATTTATGAAAATAAAAAATTGAATTGTTTTAAAGAATTTTGTTAATATTTTAGAAAATAATAATAATACATAATAAGTAATAATTAATTAGTTAATTAGAAAAATTTTTTAAATTATGACTTTTGAAAGTATGAAAACATTCAGAAATTAAAGTTGATATATTTGAAAACAAAGAAATTTGAAATTTACGTAATAATAAAAATAAAAGACAGCATTTTGCGTAACATTTGCTGGTAATAATAAAAATACTCCCTTACTTTGTTTCTTGATCTTCATCTGGTGAACTTTCTCCCTCTAAAGTAGCATATCCTCTGTCCTTTCTATCCTTTTTGTCCTTTCGTTTTCCACCAAGAAGATCCTTTTTCGAATGCTTCTCGTGTCCACCTTCATCACTGACTAAATAATTGCAAAAATCGAATTTAAATTATCAAATTAAGCTGAAGAGTTTGATGAAAATACAGAAAAAAACATTTCGATTGTTGTGCAAATTTTGACAGATTGTAATTGTAATATATCTAAGTAATTGTTATAATAACTAGTTTATAATACGTAGAACTGAATTTCACTGCAAATTAAAAACTAAAAAGGTATCCAATTTTGTCTTCTACGAAAATGAAAAGAAAACATTTTTATTTTGACAGAAGTCTGTCAAAAATAATAATCAAAACACTATTCCTGGAATATAGTACATTTATCAAAATTTGCATATTTTTGAAGAATAGAATTCGTTTAAATCTTTCAAAATAACTTTAGTGAATAATTTTAATGTTTAAATTGATTTTTTTGAAGGAAAATTTGTTCAATTCTTTTTGACAGATTCATATAACCTGTATACTAAATATGATATTTAACCGGTGAAATAATGATTTTAAAAAGCTCTTACAATCACTCTCGTTACTTTTTCTGGCCGATTCCGATGCATAAAGCCCTGGAAACTCTTTTTCAACATCAGGGCTTTCAAAGTCCATTATTTTCTTATTTGTAAAACAAAATATAACCCATATAAAGACAACAAAATCTCATCAAATATCACAAGAGCAGACGACGATTCCAAGAATTAATTTTCCAAAGAGCCTGAAATTATGTGACCCTGGATTGTTCTCCGTCGCATTTTTAGAAAATGATACAAGCTTAATTCGACAAGGTTGGTTCATACTCCTTTTGAACTTCATACTTCAACTTCGTACCTACCCATCTCTGGCCACATAAACGACAATTCCACGCATGCGTGAAATGGAAGGTTGGGAAAATGATCACGTTTTGGAATCTTTGATGTTGATCTCTGTCCAGAAATTGCGTTGTATTCATTGCTTTCTGACATAAACTTCCATTCACTCCTGTCTTTTGTTTACGAAAAATCAGCTGGCATTAAAAAAAACATGAAAATGTTTACTTCTAATGTAAAGTTTTTATAATTTCTCTTCAATTGAATAAGTGAAATTTTCTCCTCTTAAATTGCAGAATCATTTTTGTGAATTGAACTTTCGAAATCTTTAAGAAATATAATAATAAAAAAAGTTTGTCAACTACATTCGACAAAGATTTGTCTTTTAAAAAGTGACACTAAAAATGGATGTTAAGAGTCTAGAACATCCGACATTGAAGGTGAGTTATTTTAAATAGATAAGAGAAAATGTAATATATTTCTTTATAGTTTTGCTAATTTCTTTAAAAGTTCAAGGTTTTCCTGTGAGTATTAAAATTCTCGTTGTTTTAATTTAATCAATAATGTGTGTCATTTTGGTTAAGAAGAGAAGTTTTTTTTTTGTTCTTGCGTTCTATTTTTGAGTTACACAGAATCGGTATTTGGGTGATAACAGATGTTTATGATATGATAGTTGATTTTTTGGGATTTAATTATTTTACGGTAATTATTTAATTACTAATTCTATTGTTTTGGAGTAATTGTTTATTTACTGATTCCATTCTTTTTGGGGTAATTATTTAATTACTGATTCAATTGTTTTTTGGAAATTATTTAATTACTGATTCAATTGTCTTTTGGCAATTATTTAATTTTGAATATGGATTTAATTATGAATATGGATTTAATTTTGAATGTGGAGAGAAATGAAATAAAATTAATGTTTATATTTATTCACAGGTCCCGTACGAGTTGCTGAACAAGAAATTTCGTTCAGCACAAAAGACACTGGATCGAGAGGTGTCTCATGTCCAGTCAGCGGCGAATGAATTGGAAAAGGGATTATCCGAGGATGGGACAAGAGTTCCCACTGGGGATATAACAAGTCTTCTGGGCGGAGTTGTTGCCCGGCTTCAAGTCTTAAAACGAAAAGCTGAAGAATCTATTGCCGAGGAGCTTCAGGCTGGAATGGTGTGTAAACGACGTTTGGATCATTTGAAAGATCACTCGAATACTTCGCCGAGCGCCGTTAATCAATGGCGACGACAGAGACTCGATCGAATGCTGGTTGAATATTTTCTTCGAAAAGGATATTATCAAACTGCAATGAAATTGGCTGACGCCAGTGAACTTCGTGACTTGACCAACATTGGTAATTGTTGAAAAAGAAAAATTTGTTTCCAATTTTAAAAAAAATTTTTCTTAAATTTCTCAATGTTCAAATTTATTCTTTTTTGCTAGATTACTAATTATTAGAAATAGAATGTGGCAAATAATTTATTTGACAAATTTTCCAGATGTATTTATGGTGTCGAAGGAAGTGGAAAATTCACTGGCGAATCATGAGACAGCTCGTTGCTTGGGATGGTGTCATGACAATCGTTCGAAACTTCGAAAATTGGGCAGTACAATGGAATTTAATTTACGCGTTCAAGAATTTATAGAATTGGTTCGCGCCGATCGTCGATTAGACGCTGTGAAACACGCTAGAAAATGCTTCTCAAATTACGATGATTATCAATTGCAGGAGATTCAATGCTGCATGGGACAATTGGCTTTTCCTGCCAATCCTTATCTTAGTCCTTACAAAGATTTGCTCGACGAAAAACGGTAATAATTAAATTTACTGAATTTTAAATTGATAATTAAATCAGGATTGACACAGCTCGGGGAAGTTAGGGAAAAGTCAGGGATTTTTATTAAAACTACTGGAAATAATTACATTTTTAGAATTCATAAGAAAATTCTGAAATTAATTTTAATTATTGTAATATTTTTTCTCTGTACAGTTGGGATAGACTTATTGAACAGTTCCGTCACGAGAACTATCGACTCTTTCAACTTGCAAGTCAGAGTGTTTTTACGGTTGCCCTGCAAGCTGGTTTGTCTGCTTTAAAAACACCACAATGCTATGGAGGCAATAAGGAGGGACGAAATCCAAGTTGTCCAGTTTGTAATGAATCTCTCAATGAATTGGCGAATCCATTGCCATTCGCTCATTGCTCTCAATCGAGACTTGTGTGCAGTATAAGTGGTACACCTCTTAATGAATACAATCAACCAATGATGATGCCCAATGGCTATGTTTATGGTGAACAAGTAAGTAAATTTTTAATTAGTCATTTTTAATTACGAATTAAATCATTTTTTTAATCATTATTTATAGAAGAGAAACTAAATTATAACTATAATTTAACTATAATTATTATCAATTTATTTTTCTAAATGAACCTTGGGAAAAAAATAATTCGAGAAATTTATTTTTTTTTGTCTCATTCGATTATTAATCGAATTTCTCTTTTCCCCAGGCTTTGGAAAAAATGGCTCACGAGAACAATGGAACGGTAATCTGTCCCAAAACCAAAGAAGCATTTGCTTATAAAAAAATAGAAAAGGTTTACGTTATGTAAAAAAAATGTTAACATCAGAGCACAAAGTGTATTATATTGTTTCTCTTCTCTCTCTCTCTCTATATATATAATATTATCCTCTAATTTAATAGTAATGTTTACTTATAAAATCTCGAATAAAAATATATTTTCAGTCAAAATTTTCATTTTTATAATTTAATTTTTGGTCGAAAATTTTTTTCTTAAAATGATAGAAAAAAAAAGAAATCAATTCGAGTGAAAAATTAAAAAACGGTTTTAATTCATATTCATTTATTTAACATTGTAGTATTATTTGTTGCAGCATGAAAACAATTTTATAATTAGGACACAAGTCGCATTTTATCGGTAAATTATTTAACAAGTTAGGTATCTTTTTTTTCGAGTAACATTTTTTTCATTTCTTATACAATAAATTTCTATAATATTTATATATAGAAATAGAACAGAAATTTTATCGAACAAAAGAATCTGTTCTATTTCAAATATGTTGAGCTTACGCTGTGGATTTTTTTCTCTCTTTTATAATGGCTGAAAATTTCAAAAATCTAAATTATGAGGTGTGATATGTGTAAAAAAATGTGTGGAACTTAGTTTATAAAAAAGTTTGGAGTATTCTTGGTATTTTTAATTATACAAAAATATCGCTTCTAAGCTATATAGTTTTTTCCACGCTCAATACCAATTTCCCTGCGGATTGAAAAATTCATTCAAGTTTTATTGTCTGCATTCTTGTTGGATTGTCCCTATTTTTTTATTTATAGGAAAAAAGTTGGACTCCAAATAAGCATTGAAAAATTCGTGTAGTTCTATAAACTTTACGCTTTAGAATTGCGATTCATTTTTTAAAATTACTTGAAGAGGGTTGATAGGAATTTTTTTCTTGATAAATATTATCTTTTAAAATTTTTATTCTACTTTGAGCCTAGCGTATTATAAATCGAGGTATATTATATTGGAATTTTATTGTGGATTTTATGAAAAAATTACGAAGAGTTGATGCGCGATTTAGTTTGAAAAATTGGTCATAGTATTTTTATTAATTATGTTATTTTAGAAAATTAGCATTCTTCAAATATTCTAAATTATAAAAACAATTCTTTTTTTATTGAAAATTTCAGGAGTAATTAGATTTAATTAATAGGCATTGGAAGTGATGTCAATTTCAAGGTAATTTGCCAGCGACCATATTCACAAAAATTTTTACTCGTTCTCTTGTGAAAAGAAATACGCATATTCCTAAAAAAATAATTTATACTCTATTTAAATGTAAAAATATATTAAAATCATTTTTAACTTTTTTTTACATAAAAAACACACGAAAGACTTAATAGTTAATAAATAATAAATTATTACGAATTACTTTATTATTAATTAAAACAATAAGTGTCAGAATAACTTAGAATATTTAGAAAAATATAATTTACGGAGAGAATTGAAAAAAGAAAAACAAATAGCAATTAAAAAAGTAAAATTATATTCTGTTTTTCCAATTAACATTTGTCCCAGCGAATCCGAAGGTAAATTACCTCAAGTAGACAAAAAAGAAATACATAAATCGTAGATAAAAATAGTTTGAAAATAGTTATCTATTAAAAAGGAAATATAAAATTTTTTTCACTTAATTAAAGGTTCCTTTTCCGTACCATTTATACGAAGCAATAAAAACCTCATCATTTTCCGCAAATCTTCGTCTCAACTAGTATACAATATTCGCAGATACTTAAATAATAACAGATACATAAAGATAAAAAAATGACAGTACAAAAAAGTCCAGTAACGATGTAAAATTTCTTACGATAAACTGCAACAAAACATTCTAAATCTATTTTTTTCTCTCTCTCTTTCAACAATCATTTAAAACATTTACGAAGACAGGAAAATAGTGACAAAAATTGAGTATCAATTTAACATTAATCGTCTATACAAAAATTATTGATTAAAATTATTGATTTATAAATGAAAAAATTACTTTCATTAAAACAATTTCTAAAAAAAAAAATGTGCACTTTAAAGCGGCTTCGGAAAAATCTCCAAAAAGAGACTCAACATTTTTTTTTCATCAATTAAGGCATTTTGGTTACGACAAATTGTCAATCGAGTAAATGCTATTCTTTAAAAAGTGATTTGTCGCTTATTTTTTCCGTTTTTTTCTCTCCTTTTTTTTTTTTGCTGACGAGATTGTAACTTAATACGATTCAATATTTCAGTCCTTGTAGCTACTGGACTTTGTGACTCGATAGTCACAAATTGCGAAGGCTTTTTCTTTTTTTTTTAATAAAACAATTGTCGATTGAATTCTTTACAAAATTTTGTGAATTATTATTTTTATCATCGCAAAAAACTTGGACTATCCCGGTTATCCGAAATTTAGATTGAAAAATTTCCCTAAATTATCCATTAAAACTCAAATATTCTGATAAATTGTCCAGGTAACCAATTTGGGCATTAGACGAGTGAAAGTCAGTCCCGAAACAATTCCAGTAATTAATGAACCTGCTCCTAACATACCGGCTGTCGACGCATACTGTGGCTCAACCGTACTGTAAAAAAATTTTCATGATTAATTTCTAAAGTAAATTCTCAATGAAAGGAAATAGTTTTCAATTTTTTAACTGAATATAATGTAAATATAATAATTAAATATTATAATTGAATTTAGGAAATGAAATGTTTTGAAATGAATTTTTGAAACTTAAAATCAATATTTTTTAAAAGTGACACAAAATTTTAATTCGAAGAAGAAATAAATAAATTTCGTTCATTTGAATTTAAAGAATTTTAGGAGTATTAATTGTTAATATAATAATTGAAGGCCTCGGATCAACTTTAAGGCGCAAAAAAAGTCGCCTTAGTCGATTAAAAATACAAAAGAAAGTCGAAAAAGTCGTTTTATTTAATTCAGTGTTGTCACACAAATTTTATTTTTTATTTTCCTGACCTCTAACTGATTTCTAAATTCAATTATTCAAAACTCGAATAATTTTGTTAAATATTTAAATACTTTCTTATTTGTTTTTCTACAGGAAATAAAATTTTTAAATTTCAATTTAATACCTTCTGAATATTTTCTAAAAATTACAACTATAGTTTTTTCGAAATTCAATTATTTTCTAACTATTAACTAAATTTTATCTCTAAATCAATTATTTAAATACAAAAATTCAATTATTTATAATAATTGTTTATTTTAAAAGTTACTAAGTAATATTTTCAAAATTGTAATAAAGAAATTCTTAAAATTAATTCTTTTTAAATATTTTAAAATAATTTTTGAAAGATAATAGTATTTTAAAACAAATGTACAATTGAAAAATTTCCAAATAATTGAAATTTGATAAAATCTATATTAAAAATAATTGAAATTTGATAAAATCTAATAACAATAATTCAAGTTTGATAAAATCTATTGGAAATAATTGAAATTTGATAAATACTTTTAAAAATAAAAGAATTTTTAAAGAATTTTAATTTTATAATAATATAAATATGTTTTTTCCAAAATTTTGTTAGGTTTGAAAAATTAAATTTTTAAGAATTTCCAGTTACTTTGTTCGAAGATAATTGATTGTTAAAAAATTATGATAAAACATTTCTAAGAATTAGTTTAAAAAAAAATATTTTACTGTAATTTTTTGAAAATAATTGAATTTCTTAAAAGAATTTCTGTAAGTTATAGAAAACTAATAAATTTTTTGAAGAATTTTAATTCAAAATTTTAAACATAGTATTGTGTTCTCCAAAATATTAAAAATAATTCTAAAAAATTTTAATGTTATTATTTTTTGTGTGTATTTGAATTTTTTGAAATATAAAAGTGAAAATATTGAAAGACATATTTAAAAATTTTTAAAATTAGAATGGATTAATTCTAAGAATTTCTTTTTTCTAAAATCTTTTTGAATATAATTTTTAGAAGAACATACACTCTTGAAGATTTTTCATTAAAATTTTTGAGAATTTAATGATTTTAAAAATTTTCAATTAAAATTCTCCAAAAGTTGATTTTTAAAAATTGTAATAAAATACATAAAGAAAACTATTTTCAATTAAATTTTACAAATATTTCAATTATTCTAAAACTTTTTTAATTATACGTATATTTTTAAAATTTCGAAAAAAAACCGTAAAAAAAATCGTAAAAAATTATTCAAAAATATAATTTTGAAAAATTTGTCTATAGTTATTTTTCACACTATAAAAATCGAAATAAGATGCATTTTATGCTAAAAAATTTGATATTTTGTTACAAAATTTGGAAAAAAGTCGCAATTTTTTAAAATAAGTCGAAAAAATCGCATTTTTTGAAAATAGTCGAGAAAGTAAAAAAAGTCATAATATCCGAGGTCTGTAATTGGAAACATAGAAAGAAATTTATTACCTGGAGCAGAACATCATTGTCATAGAAGAAAAGTATCCGCTTGTGAAGCCCATTGCAAGACCAATAGCTAAGTATATCCAATCATTGTTAATTAAAATAGGAATTGTTCTCGCCGCCTTATCCACTTGATAATTACAAACCAAGAAAAGAGGAATGAACAACACTCTCAAGAGAATTGGAATGATCACGTACTTTTTACCTGGCTGGAAATTAATAATTTTCGTTACTAAAATATACGAAATACAAACCAAAAAAAAGCTATAAATACAATAGCAAAAAAATTGTCAATGAATAGCAATAAAAGAAAAACAATTAATTAAATTTAAATTTACCCATTGGTATCTAGATCCGAAGTAACTGCCGATCATGGCTGTGACGTTGAATGTAAGGAAGCACATAACACTTGCGTAATATTTCTCTTCAATTATGAAATTTGGATCTGAATGCTTAACGTTACTGGCAACATTTGGGAAAATTGTGAGTGTTACAAAAAATATGAAAAACACATTGAAACATTGTACCCAGCATTGTTTGAAAACTTTCCAATATGGTGGTCTCAACGATTTTCCCCTTGCTTTTCCACCGATTCTTTTTTTATTCATTTCCTTCTGAGCGAGAAGTTCGTGGTATCGGTAAAACCTCTGTGTTTTTGAAAAAGAAAAGAAAGGAAAATTTAATTCTCACACCTTCCAAAAATAATAATCATATTAACGAAAAATAATTATAGATAATCGAATTTTCATTAAAATAATGTAAATTATACGTACGTTTATTGGAAGAGCGAAATAAGTATCGAAGCATGTGAGAAGTACGAAAAGAGCAGTTATAAAGTAATAAATAGCGGCTGTCCGTTGATTTGGCGACAGTATTTTCGAAACCAGATCAATAATAGATACAAATGTCCCGCTAATATTCTGTCAAAAGAAAAGTATTTATAGTAATTATAACCATTTATATTTAATATATCTAAAAGTATTTAAATATTTTTAAATAAAAATTTCTATAATAAACTTAGGAAAAAAATAAGAAGAAAAGAATTATTTACCGATCCTAGGACAACAGCACCGGTATATTTGCCAGGCAATTTAGCTGCCATTCCATAAACGGAATTCTGATAAATACCATTCGCAGCTGGAAAGAAAAAGAAATTTATTAATTTTTTTATTCGCCGAAAAACCGAAAGGTGGAGAAATAAAATAATATGACTCGTCGGAAAGTATAACCACACGCAATAAAATTTTTCACCGCAGGACTTTGGAAAATAAGTGTTAGAATTTTTTGTCTGTGGTTTTACTTTCCGTCGGTTTATAAAATATTATAATTGACGATTATAAAAAAACTCACTGTTTAATAAAACAATAGTGATCATGGTGGTCCAATAAAATTCAGGAATCCAAGCGCTCGTATCAGTCATTGCCAGGACGATTGTGAATACAAAAATTAAGACTTGTGCAAATATTCCCCAAACAATTCGTGTTGTTAAATTTCCACTGTAATTGAAAGAAAATAATTTGTTAATACCATGGAAATAAAAGAAAATAATTTATAAATACTAATGAAAATAAAAGAAAAAAAATTATAAATATTATAGAAATAAAAGAATTGAGACAAATATTTACAAAAAAAATTGCAGATAATTTCTTTTTTTTTTAATTCACTTTTAAGAAATAAATAAAGATGTTTTTTTTACAAAATTTTAATGAAGTATAAAAATTATAATATAGAAAATAGAATAAAAAATACGAACCCCAATTGGACAAAAATATTTAACCAACTGAAGATCAGATTCGGAATTTGTGCTGCCAAGGCAGATTCCTCTTGGTAAGAGGTTTGATATCTTGGCTCAGTCTTGCTGCTTAATTTAAAAACCGTGAAATACTGAAAGAAGAATAAATTTTTTAAAAAATTGAAATAATAATTGCCATTTCTTGAAAATATTTTTTTTTTTTAAATTTACTTACATCAAATGCCGTAATGAACATATTCCACGATATTAAAGTTCCAATTCCATGCAGAACCATAATAAAATATACTATATTTAATCTGAAAGAAAAATAAATTTTCTTATTCGTATAAAATAGATAAAATTGAAAAAATGAACATAATGTAAATAAAAATGTAAAAAAATAAATGAAATCGGAAAAAAATGAATATAAAATAAATAAAATTGGAAAAAATGAATATAAAATAAATAAAATCGGAAAAAATGAATATACAATAAATAAAATCGGAAAAAATGAATATAAAATAAATAAAATCGAAAAAAATGAATATAAAATAAATAAAATTGGAAAAAATGAATATAAAATAAACAAAATTGAAAAAAATAAACATAAAATAAATAAAATTGAAGAAAATGAAAAAATACAGAAATATTTATATTTATTAAAGAAGTATTTGAATAAATAAAAATAATGAATTTTCGAATTTTAAAAAAAACTTGAAAATTTATTATTATCGTCCATAAAATTTAGTCAAATTCGCAACTATTTTTCCATAAAAAACTAAAATTTTGCTTACTGTAAGCACGAATAAAATGACGCCGCATTATTTTTTATACTTTTAAAAATATTTTACAAATATCTAGAATTATATAAAAATAATTCTATTTTTGTAGAGTAGAATTATTTTTATTTCTTGAGATGGTAAAAATTTTGCTTTAAACCTCTAGACGAAAAAAATAAGAAATAATTTTATTTAGATTTAAAAAATATATTAAACAAAAAAATAAATAAAATATTAAATTCTATCTGTTAAAAAAAATAAATATTATAAAATATGATTTAATTAATTAAATAAAATTATTAACTCACCGATCCTTGGGAGGATTTAATTCCAAATCTAACTGGTCCATTGTCATGTCTTTAAAATTTAATTCGTCGTCTGGTCTGCCTGTTCCTTCCCAGCCAGGTGACAATCGAACTGGTTCAGAACCTGTTATTAAAAAGAAATAAAATTTTTATTTTAAATTTTTCGATGATTTATGTATTATTAAAATCTTTTTTCACAAAGAAGAAAAAAAATTTTTAAATTCTCGACTAAGGTCAAAATAGAAGTGAGTCTAGCGAGTTTAAAATTTAAAAATAGAAATATACAAAGAGCATTGATCTAAACGACACAGTAACCGCCTGGCCATAAATTATCATGCTCCTGATCATCATTTGAATCAATTTATAAGTGTAATTGATTCAATAAAATTTCGTTTTATGACCGAATACAATTTAAGCAAAAGAAATAAATGATTAATTGAAATATAAGTGGTTCGAGAGAAGACTTACACATTATTTTTAAATTATGTTCACTAATTTCTTTTTCTATTTTATTTTCAATATTTAAAAAAGGAAAAAGTACTTTTCCAATTAATTTTTTTTTTTGGAACTCGAAAAAAACATTAAAAACTGATTTTTTTTTCTCGGAAAATAAAAATTTAAAGACAATTATCACTTAATGAGATTTTAAGAGCTTTTTCACGTGAAAAAAATCATTATCTCTTAAAGTGAATTTTTTCAAGTGAAAAAATATTTTCTTTTTTCTTCGTGAAATTTATATATAAGAGAAAAATATACTTTTTTATCAACAAGAGACAGTGAATTGGAATAAATTAAACGATAGGCATAATTAAATTAAAGGAAATTACCATGAGAAAGAGAAGAATTAAAAGTATAGTAAGTAATGTTGTGACCTGTACAGAAAGAGTGTACACTTTAAAGAGATAAATAAATAAAACAGTAATAGAGTAGAAATATTTCAAAAATTAAAATTAGCCGCATGCAAATTCATAATTACTTCGTATTCTAGATAATATATTCGTACATTAAGATTGTCTAGAAATTCTGAAAAAGTATTTTCTGTTTTTGTCTGGAAACCAAAAAAAGTAACTTAAAATAAATAAATAAATAAAAGTAAATAAATAAAAATAAATAAATAAACATAAATAAATAAATAAATAGATAAATATAAATAAATAAATTAAATAAAGAAAATAACTGAAAATTGAAAAAAAAAATATTTTACATATAAATAAAAAGAAATACTTTTTATACAAAAAATTGTAAAATATTTTTACTAAATTCTCTGATAATAACAATAAATTTTTTCATCTCTGTGCTTTATCTCCAATATGTTTACGAGATAACTCTCGTAAGTTTACAGATCACAAGAGCTTAAATTCTCCAGCGATTGATAAATTAATAAAATGAGATTGCCATTGAAAGAAGAGCTTTCTAAACAATTTCTTATCAGCTGTCAGAGAGAGAAAGAGAGAACATTGCAACACAAGACTGTTATTAATTCGATACCTTATAAAGTTGATAAAAAATTTTTTTTTTTTTTAAATTCCGTGCCTAGAAGATATGCTACTTTTAGAAGAAATAATTACAACACAACTCAGAGAAGACGAAGATTTTTTCTCGTATTTGTATTCTTGAATTTAAAAAATTCACTTTGTGACTTCCAGAACTAAACACCAAAAAATGGAATTTGGAAAAAGACGTATAAAAATTGAGGAAAAAGTAATAAAAATGGTACAAAAAAATTGTAGGAAAATAGTAAATAAGGAAAAAAATAAAATAAAAAAAAATCAAAGAAAATAAAAAAATACAAGAAAAAAATAAAACAAAATAAAAATTCAAAAAATAAAATAAATTAAAAATAAATACAAGAAAAATAGAAAAGATATGGTTGCCACAGGTCAGGGAAGTCAGGGAATTCAGGGAAAAGTCAGGGACAGTAAAATAGGTCAGAAAATTTTGGAAAAAGTAAGAGATTTTTATTAAATCTACTGGAAAAAATTGAATTTTGGAAAAGTTACAAATGATTCCAGAAATTCAATTATTTTCAAAACTTATAAAAATTCTTCGCAGAATTTCAATTATGTTAAAAAATTTTTTAAAAATTCTTGTCAAAATTTCAATTATCTTTAAAAATAATAAAATTCTTCATCGAAATTCAATTATTTTTAAAAATTTCAATAAAATTCTTGACAAAATTTCACAGAAATTCAATGATTTACAAAATTTTTAATAAATTTCTTCGAAATAATTTAATTATTTTCACCATGTTGAAGTCCACAACGTTGATCAACGAAAAAAAATTTTAAACTTAGTAAATTAATTAAAAATGACGCTGCAATATTGTCACAAAAATATTTCGAAATAAAAGATTGATGTTTATATTTTGATAATAATTATTTTGCAATTAAATATTAAATTAAAAATAATACTTGAATACATTAAATAAATTTATTTCGTTGACAAACGTTGTGGACTTCAACTTCGTATTATTTTCACAAGTATAATAAAATTTTCACAGGAATTCAATTATTTAAAATACAAAATTTCATAAAATTTTTGGCAAAATATCAATTATTAAAAATTTTTTTTTTATAAAATTCGTCGGAAGAATTCAATTATTTAAAAAAAATCTAACAAAGTTCTTTTCAAGAATTCAATTATTTTTATAAATAATAAAATTCTTCACCGAAATTCAATTATTTTTATAAACTTGAATAAAATTCTTTGCAAGAATTCAATTATTTATATAAATAATAAAATTCTTCACAGAAATTCAGTAATTTTTATAAACTTAAATAAAATACGTTGAAAGAATTAAATTATTTTCAAAAGTAATAAAATTATTCGCAAAAATTCAATTATATTTAAAAATTAAAAAAAAAATCTTGTCAAAATTTCTCAATTATCTTTATAAATAATAAAATTCTTGGCAACATTTTAATTAGTATCATAAATAATAAAACTTATCGTAGAATTTTAATTATTTTTGATACAATATTTTAATCAAATTCCTCGAGAAATTAAAAAAAAAATTAATTTTTTTTTATTCTTAAAAATTTTATTAAAATTTGTTAAAAGAATTTAATTATTTAAAAATTTATTGATAAAATTCTTAATATGAGAATTTAATTTTTTAACAAACGTTTAATTATTCAAAAAATTATTTATTTTTTAATTTAAATAATTGAATTCTTCTAGAATTTTCTAATAAAAATTGATTTAAAAATAAATTACCGAATAATCGATTTATTATTTATGAAAATAATTAAATTATTGCAAAAGAAATTTATTAAATTTCTTTTTAATAATTGATTTTTTTTGAGAAATTTTACTACTTGAAAAAAATAATTGAATTCTTGCGAAGGATTTTATTAGGATTTTTGTAAATAATTAATTTTGTTTTGAAAAATTTTATGGTAATTTAAATTATTACAAAACATGAAGAAGGCGATCACTCCGAGTAAAAGACTCAGAGTGGTCGATTTCTTCATGTTTTGTAATAATATTTTGATAAGTTGTTAATTTCAATAGGTTTGAATTAAAAATTAAATATTTGTGGCAACCCTGAAAGTAGAAAAGAAAGAAGAAAATAAAAAGAAAATAAAAAATTAAATAATAAAATAACAAAATAAAAATAAATACAAGAAAATAAGAAAAGAAAGAAGAAAATAAAAAAGTAAATTAGTAAAAATTTAAAAATGAGACTAAGATTTGAAGGAAAAAAAACTTGATGAACTTTTAACAATTTCTATTGAAAGAAACTTTCTTATTTTCGAAGAATTTTCCAATGTCCTCGATGAGATAATTTTTGCCTCAAGAGCTATTAAGTAAATTAGTTTTGGTAGACGAGTTAAAAGCATCATTAGTCGAATAGGGAGCAGTAAAGTCAGCACCGTGGACAATATCAATGTGAAAAAAAAATATGCTTATTATGACAAGAGGATAATGAACTCCGGCAGATTACATTATATTCTAGTCTCTCTCTCTATACATTAGCCAATAGTCATGCAAGTTCAATTGAAATAAAATGATTTCACACTGTATTATATTTTTAGACACAACAATTATGAAAATACCAATAACTTGACACATTTTTTTTTCTCTTCACGTGGCTTAATAATTTCTCACAAGCAACCAACCCACGTGAAAAAGTTTATAATCAAAAGAAAAATACTTGCGTAAGGAAGAAGAATACTTTTGTATTGTAAAGAATCCTGAAGTCTTGGACGCGATCAAAACGGCTTGGGCAATTTGCCAAGGAAGCGAAAAAAGAAAAAGAAAGAAAAAGGAAAAGAAAAAAAAGTACACGAGTATAAAAGAGAAGCACATGGTGAGGGAACATCGCATGTTTATAAGAGAGAAAAAGCGTAGTGATGATTGAGGGAAAAAAAGATGAAAATTTTGCAAAGAAGGAAAGTAATTAATTATTTTTATTTTTTAATTATACCTTTTGGTGGTAAAATTCTTGCAGCTCCGTTAACATCTTTTAGAAGCGTCTGTTCCTCAGGACCTGCTCCAAATTCTTTTTTTGTATATGTACCCGCCATTTTTTTCTTTTTCTTTTTTATAAAAAAATCACACAGAAAGAAAATTATCAACAAATTGTTTTGCTATTCTATTTTTCATTCAGTTAATTGCTATTCAATTTATGTCAAAATATCCGGTCTTGAATAACTTTTTTAATATACACAATGGGCGGATCACTCCGGTGTATTTTTGTATATTTCTTTTTTCCTCCTTTTAATAAACACACTGTAATCGATCGTTTAATTCAATGTCAAACTTTAAAAAATCGAATTAATTAATTAAATAGAGAATTATTTCATCAAAATGGATTTTTTAGGGTATTTTTTTCACAACAACTCACGAGACGAACCATTTTCCTTCAGTTCGTTTACTGTTCTGAAGAGACAATTTTGAGGTTAGGTTAGTCAACCCTCTCTTCAAGTGCTTGAATAATATTGTGCAAAGCTCGCAGCCAGCGATAAGAGGCGAAATGATCCGAAAATATCCGAATCCCGAATTTGAATTTAAAACTATTGAAAAAAAATGTTTTCTTTTCTTCTGATAAGAAAATAAAAATTTGCTTTTGTTTTATAGGGAAACAAAGAATGATTCTTCAGGCGTAAATTGTTGCTTAACTTGTTTGAGAACAGGTTTTTTTTTTATCAAGGTACCGAAGTTAATCTCTTATTCATAATTCACACTTGTAGATTCACATTACATGTCATATATATATTTTTTTTGCATATTTATATAAACAACCTTCAACAATGTAGTACATTTCTCTGGATAAAGAAACATTGACAATTGCACGTATAGATTATTTATTAATCGCAGGCAAAGGGCAATTAACAGAATTTATCGGATTGAAATGGAAAATACATATCGAAAATATTGATTGAATATTATCATTTAAAAGTTCGTTAATTATTTAAAAACTAAATTTACTTTCTTTACATTCTGCATTAATTAATTAATAAATTAAATAAATAACTAATTCATCTAATAAATAAATAAATTTATTTATTAATTAAGTAATCAATTTATTAAATAAAATTTATTTAATAAATTGATTAATTAAATAACTAACTAGTGAATTATTTGATTAATTAAGTAAATAATTAATTATAGCAAAATTCAAAAATGTTTCTCTATTATAAAAAATAAAGTAAAAGTTAAAGAAAGAAAAAATTTGTAAAAAATTTTTTAAGGCATTATTGAATTTTTGAAAGTTTTTAATTTGTAATAATAAAAAACTACGTACCACTGTTTAAAAAATATATCACAGACATTTTGTTTATAATAAACAAAGAGGAAAATTATGCCCAAGTTTCTAATTGATATCGATTGTTTTTCTCCAATTGACTAATAAAAATTTCAGCATCCTCGTTATTCATGTTTCCAAACTTCTTCGCTAAATTAACAAACTCCTCGCGCACGCTATTAGGCATATTTTTAGAATTGCCAGCCAAGTAAATATTGGCATCGTTGCACAAAAATTCCCAACATAATTGCCCTTGTAATCGAATTATGTGCTGAACATATCTGCAATCAAAAAAGGAGAATTAGAATTTATTATTTTGAAAAATAGTAAAAAGAAAGAAAACAAAAAGTAAAGAAGAAAAAGTTCAGGGCTCAAACTTAAGTTCGAAAAATTGCTTGAACTTCGTGACAGTCAGATTTTTTTTTAAAAAAAGGTGCGTAAAGTCTGTAATTTAATTGAAAAAGGACGAAAAGTATTAGTAAATTATACGATATAATTTAGAGAATTTTAAAGAAATTTTACAAATATAATTGGAGAAATTCAATTATTTTCAAAAGTAATAAAATTCTTCGGAGAAATTCAATTATGTTCGAAAATTTCTAAAAAATTATCGTTAAAATTTCAATTATATCATCAAAAATAAATAAAATACTTCTCCGAGATTCAATTATTTTCAAAAAATTTAAAGAAAATTCTTGAGAAAATTTCAATTATTTTATAAAAATTTTTTCCTGAATTCAATGATTTTAAATATCTACTATTTTAGTAAAATTTTCCAAAAGAATTCAATTATTTAGAAAAAAAACTAATAAAATTCTACGCAAACATTTAATTATTTTCATAAAATAATAAACATTCCACAGAAATTCAATTATTTTCAGAAATAATAAAATTTTTAAAAGGATTTAATTATTTCTAAAAATTTTAATAAAACTCTTGAGAAAATTTCAATTATTTAAAAAAAATTTCCTGAATTCAATGATTTTGAATATCTACTATTTTAATAAAATTTCCCAAAAGAATTCAATTATTGAAAACAATTGTTGATAAAATTCTACGCAAACATTTAATTATTTTCATAAATAATAAAATTTTTACAAGAATTCAATTATTTTCGTAAATAATAAAATTCCTCTTAGGAATTCAATTATTTTCATAAAAAATAAAACTCAACAAAGAATTTCGATTATTTTTAATAGAATTTTAATTGAATTCCTCGAAAAATGTAATTATTCTCAAGTATTATTAAAATCCGTCAAAAAAATTCAATTATTTAAAAATTTATTGATAAAATTCTTTCTGAGAATTGAATTTTCAAAAACATTCATTAAATTATTTTTATTTTGTATTTAAATAATTGAATTCTAGAAGAATTTTTTAATAAAAATTAATTTAAAAATGAATTTTAGTTAAAGTTTTAGATTATAAATGAAAATTAAAAGCATTATAGCGTAAATTTGTTAAATAATTTAATTTTAAAAAGGTTTCAAATTAAAATCTTTGAAAATATGAATTTTACATATTTTTAACTAACAATTCTGTGGAATTAAATTTTTTGAAAAAGTTTAATTACGAATTTTTTATGTAAAATTATTTCATGTTTTTATTTTCTAATATATATATTCAATTATATGTTAAAAAATTTCAATTATCTTTATAAATAATAAAATTTTTCTTTAAAATTCAATTATTTTCAAAAATTTTAATAAATTTCTTGTCAAAAGATCAAGTATCTCTGGTAGAATTTTCTAATAAAAATTCATTTAAAAATTAATTTTAGTTAAAGATTTAGATAATAAAATCAAGTTCTTTCAAAAAAATTATATTTTTTAAAATAATTAATTTCTTGGCAAGAATTTTTTTTAAATTTTGAAAACAATTTGTTTCGATGAAAATGAAAATTTGAAAAATTTAATGAAAATTGTATTAAAAATAATTGAATTCGTCTAAAGAATTATTTCTACAAATTATTTCTACAAATTTTATTTTTGAAATAATTAAATAATTTAATTCAATTATTTTAATAAATAGTAAAATTCATCGAAGAATTTCAATTATTTTTAATACATAATTTTAATCAAATTCCTCGAAAAATGTAATTATTCTTAAAAATTTTATTAAAATTCGTCAAAAGAAATCAATTATTTAAAAATTTTGTTGACAAAATTCTTTGAGAATTCAATTTCAAGAAACATTTAATTATTCAATAAATTATTTATTTTTATATTTAAATAATTGAATTTTCATAAATAAAAACATTTTCACAGGAATTCAATTATTTAAAAGAGAATTTTCCTAACATTTTTCGAAAAAAATCAATTACTTAAATAGATTTTTATAAAATTCTTCACAAGAATTCAATTATTTTTAATACAATTTTAAATTAATTCCGCAAAAAATGCAATCATTCTTAAAAATATTATTATAATTCGTCCAAAGAATTTAATTATTTAAAAATTTGTTGATGAGGTTGATAAGTTTTATTTAGTTACGAAAAAATTTAATTTATATTTTAAGTAATTGGTCCGTAATTTTTATTTTTGGTCCGTAAAGACCGTATTTTGAAATACTTTCACTGGTTCGAGCCCTGAAAAAGGAAAAGAAAAAGAATTAAAAAGAGAAAAAATTGATTAAAAACAATACTCACACTTTTGCCTCCTGGTCCCGAGAGAAAGCGCAAAACATTTTCAAATTATTATATTTACACATTTTTGCAAAATCCTGCCTACAATGATAATCCTTCTCTTGATTTCTACATCCGAAGAATAGAAGACAATTCTTTAAATTTTTCTCAACAACCGCTTTCTCCAGCAATAATGAACGAAACGGTGCAACGCCCGTTCCGGGTCCAATTAAAATCATTGGTTTCGAATTATCAAATTTAAACGTTCCCCGCTGAATCCAATAGATCACTGAATCGCCAACCATTAAATTTGCCAACCAATTCGAGCACAAACCAAATCTCGTGTCAATTAATTTTGTCTTATATTTAACGACAGCAACCAAAATGTGTATTTCGTCGCGAGTTTGTCGTAAACTCGACGCAATGCTAAAGGCCCTGGGTTTTATCGGCGACATTATTTCAAAGAGTAATTCCAATGTTAATTTACAGGTCGTATGGGGAAAATCGGCCAACATTTCAATAATATTTCTCCTCGGGCGATTAATATAGTTGAAAAGATCCTCCTGGCCAGCAGGCATTGTAAATTCAATTAATTTCTCCTTTTCCAAATCATTATCACTGATTGATGCCAAAGTTTGTATTGTCGATCTTCTTGGTTTGTAACTTAAATCCCAATATTGTTCGGCAATTTCCTTGAGGGTTAGGAATTGTTGTAAAACAATTGGAACACGAATTTCTTTCTCGGTTATTTCTACTATCATATCCGGTTTGACATTTACATTATTCTCGTTTAGAACTTGAAAGAATTTTTGTACTTGTTTCTCGGAATTTTTTGGTCTTAGATAAAGAATATCTCCTGGTTGATAGTCAACGTCGGGTGCTTTAAATTTAATTAGTCTCACGTCTTGGAAATGATCCTTGGCAGTAGTGCGTGTATTTTCGAGTACATTTCCGATTTTTAACACCTTATTCACTTGTACTTCTTTTAAATAAATATCTGATTTCTCAATTTTTGTATCCTCTTTTTCGATTAGGTTAATATTGAATTTTTCTATTACAGGACTATTTGAATTTGAAATGTTATCAATTAGAATGTGAAATTTTTCCGAAATTTTCCTCCATAATTCTTGTGACCATGAACTAATGACAGCGTCAATTCCCAAATCGTGTTGATCGTCTGCTAAACCAATGGGAATTAATTCTAGAGCACCTAATTGTGAGAGACGTTTATTTAGCATTTTACCAGCATAATTATATTTTTGATAGGAACTATCGCCAAGAGCAAGAACTGCGTATTGTAAATGTTTCAGTAAATCAGTTGGTAAATTTTTACGCAACAAAAATCGCCAAAATCGTTTCATGTTTGTTGTCACTTCTCCCTGTCCAGTTGTTGCGACGACAAAAATAATAAGCCGATCGGTTGATAAATTCTCAATATCATACTCGTCCATGGAGGAAATGTGACATTTTAAATTGTTCCTGAAAAAATTGATTTTGAAGACAATTATTCGATTTATAAATTAATTTTATTGAAATGTGATTGAAATCTAAATATGATCTTAAATAAATTAAATGAATACCAGGCTTCGTACTCGATAATTAATTTTTAAGCAGCAAAAAGTAGCTTAAATAGAGAAAAAAAAGTGTTAAAAAAGAAGCTATCGAGAAATTAAACTTGACGACTCAATTTTTTATATAATTTCTTAATTACATTCAAAAATAGACGAATTTTTTAAAATAAATATTTAAATACCGATTTATTTTGTCTACAGAAATTAAAATATTTCAACTGATTTCAATAGAACGCATTTTTGAAATTTAACTATTTCTAAAAATTACAAAAGTAATTCTTTCAAAATTCAATCATTTTTTTCTTGAAAATAAATAAAATTATTCAAAACTTTAATCATTATATTTTATTCAATTCTAAATCAATTCTTATTAGAAAGTTCTACAAAAAAGTAATTATTTAAATAGAAAAAAAATAATTTATTGAATAACTGAATATTTCTTAAATTTGAATTCTTATAAAGAACTTTATCAACATTTTTTGAAAATAATTGAATTTTTACGAAGAATTGCATTAAAATTTTTGATAATTTAATTCATTCAAGAACTGTGATTAAAAATGAATTGAAAATAATTATTACACTCTACAAAACAAATTATATCAAATTTCTTTAAATAATTGAATTTTTTCGAAGAATTTTATTCAAATTTTTAAGAATACTTTCGTTTTTAACGGAATTAAGAATAATTACATTTTTTAACTTAAAATTTTAACTTAAAATTATTTTTTAAATCAATTTTTATTAGAAAATTCTACCAGAATTCAAGTATTTAAATACAAAAATAAATAATTTATTAAACAATTGAATGTTTCTTAAAATTGAATTTCCATATAAAGTTTTATTAAAATTTTTAAGAATAATTACATTTTTCGTGGAATTTATTTAAAATTGTATTAAAAATAATTGAATTCTTGCGAAGAATTTTATAAAAATTTATTTAAATTCTTAATTTTTTTCGAAAAATATTCGGAAAATTCTGTTTTAAATAATTGAATTCCTGTGAAAAATTTTTTATTTATGAAAATAATTGAATGTTTGGAACGAACTTTATAAACATTTCTTGTAGACAATTTTGTATTTAAATAGTAGATATTGAAAATCATCGAATGACGAGAAATTTAAATTTGTGAAAATAGTTGAATCGTTTTAAAGAATTTTATTATAATTTTTTGAATTTTTGCCAATAACTTCATTAAAATTTTTGTTATTTAAACTGTTAACAAATTAAAAGTGTGTCTCAAATATGGTAAAAAGTAGCTTTTAAAGTAACAAATAAAAAAAATATCCAAATAGTAGCAAATCGTAAAAAAAGTAGTAAATAGTAGGTTTTAGTAGATGAGTGCAAGGCCTGGAGTACGAGAATTAAATCTGTAAATAGTTAATTATTTTTCAAAAACAGGATTTATTTAAAAGGCGTAATTACTTTTAGAAAAATTTATTTTATTTACTGTAGAAAAAGTGAAACTAACCTCTTAGCAATTTTCCAAATTTGTTCCGCTGTATCCTGAGCAGTTCCGGTTTCACTTCCGTAAAGTATAGTAACGTTCATATTTCTCTCTTTATTATTGAATTCCAGTCAAAGGATCTCGGTAGATTTAATGAAATATTTATATAACATTTGCAGAAATCGTAGAAACTGCAGAAACAAATTGTGTTCAACAACAGCTGATTTTGTAGCAGACGACAAGGGACACATCTCCCTCGCGTGACTACTTTTGTCATTAAAGGAGCAAAGGCAATATAAAAAAAATATCTCTTTTCACAATTTTCCTCATTTGATCAATGTTACATCTTGCTCAATCAAATGTCAAGGATGAATTTCGAAGGCCGAATCCCGTTTGGCTCGCAACCTGTGTTGTATTTTTACATAAAATGAGAAAAACCAATTTTCCGTGCGCGAACATATGTGGAAATTTTCAAAAATCGCGCCTTTTTTTATAAGCAGCATTTTTTTGGCTTCTTTACAAAAAAGTCGAAAAGAAAATTTTCCTATTTATGAAAATTTATGTTTATGATTTATTCAGTGTTTTTGTAAATTAAAGAAAAGGGTTTTTCAACTGAAATCGGGGAGAATATTTTAATTGACATTTTAAAACCCGGAAGCGGATCTCGAATGAGTTTACACTTTAGCCAACATGACATTTATGTGAGAAAAATATTGTTTAACATTACAAAAACTTTAGATAATTTTTGAAAAAGTAGGGAAATTGAAAATCGGAAATTACTTGAATGAAATTTAATTTTCAGTTTATGTAATTTAATTGGACAAGTGAAGAAAATGGGAAAAAAATGTCAAAGTGAAGTGGGTTGGTAGCAGTGCTTGTTTGTGGATGACTATTGAAAGCAGCAAACTACTTTGACGCCAAAGGAAAGACGATAATGGCCATTTCGTAGAGAAGACAAAGATCGAAGTGAGAAAGAGTAGAGGTGGTGCGGCGTATAGACGAGAGGAAAAGTGTGTCTCTTTTTTTTCTGAAAGAGCTGTGAGTTGTGTATCGATGTTTATTGCCTCTGTTGTTCGTGTTCGTACCGCTCGATTGACGAGCTCGCGGTACGTTGGTGGTCCGTTAGTTTCTGTATACAAAAGGTACAGGTTTCCATCTAAGAAACGAATTACGCATTTTTAAAGTCATTGTTGATGTTCTTGTTCCTGCAGTTGGTTTATAACCCGTTACGTCTCGTCGTCTTATTGCTTTAAACACGTCAAAATTTCACCTCTATTAAAGCATTCCTGCAAATGGTGACGATTTTTTCGTCTTTTCGAATAAATACACACAGAGCGCTAATTTTTGCCCAGCCCCCACAGCTGACTCTCTTCCTTGATTTCATCAGCTTCATTACCTCGTCGATCTTTTAAACTTCGACATTCACATATTACAATCATTCGGATACCTGCGCCTACCGCATTCAAGGTTAGTGTTTAAAAAAAGTTTCTCTTTCTAATTAAAATAGAATTCAGGGTCAATTTCAATTCGTTTTTTGACACTATTCAATAGTGAAAAATCATTATAAATTCCATTAATAATTTTCGTTTATATGATGCGCAAGAAATAATAAAATGGGTCATATTTGTCATGAGCTGTTATTGTTGATCGTTTGTATCTAATTTAGCAAATTTATAGTTATATATATATATATATAGAATAGAATATTAAATTATACTTTAGGTTTGGTTTTTAATTTTTTTGAAATTATTATTATTATTATTATTATTTTTTGGTATTTAAATTGATTGTCAATATTTATTTTTAATTAGAAAAAAAACTTGGTATAGACAATAATTGCCAATCTATATATAGTTGGTATTTGAGGTTAGGTGCGTCTGATTTTAATATTTCTTCACAAATTAATTCTGTAATCGATTATGAAAGTTTTCATTTAAAAATAACAGTGATTATAATCTATTAATTGATTATTTATAAATTTTACGTTGCGGAATTGATCGATTGTTAATAACATCAATTGACAGCTATTTTTGTTTGAATTCGTCTATTTAATTTAGAATTTATTATTAAAATATAAATTCGATATTATTGATAATAAATAAAATACATTAAAAACTAAGAGTTTTTTTTAATATTTTCAGTTTTTAACAAAGTAGCCACAGGTCAGGGAAATCAGGGAAATGTCAGGGATTTTTATTAAAAGTACTGGAAAAAATTATATTTGTAGAATTCATAGGAAAACTCTGCATTTTTTATGACTTTTTTCTATTTTGTTTGCCTCATAAACTATGAAACTACCACGAATTCTGATACAAAACCTTCAAAAATTTTTCTAATTCTTTTTTTTACTATTTTCATAAAATTTATCAAATAATTTAATTTCCAATATTTTTAATACAATTTAAAATAAATTTAAGATTTAAATAAATTCAAATTTAAAAAACATTCCATTATTCAATGAAATAATAAAATTCGTTGCAATAATTCAATTATTTTCATAAATAAATTTTCATTTGTCACAGGAAATTAATTATTTTCAAAAATTCTGAAGTAATTCTGCAAAAGAATTCAATTATCTTAATAAACAACAAAGTTTTCCACATAAAATCAATTATTTTAAGGAATTTTAATAAAATTCTTTTCCAAAATTCAATTATTTCAATAAATATAAAAATTCATCATAAAAATTCAATTTTTTTGAAAACTAATAAAATACTTTCCGAAAATTAAATTATTTTCAAATTTTTTAAAAAATTCCTGTCAAGAATTAAATGATTGTCAGAAATTTTAATAATATTCTTGGCAAAATTTCAATTATTTAAACGAAATTTAATAAAAATTCTTCGCATAAATTCAATTATGTTTAAATTTTTTTAAAATATCTCGTCAAAATTTCAGGTATTTTTAAAAATAATATAAATTGCACAGTAATTCAAATATATTTAAAATTTTTTATAAATTTCTTCTCAATAATTCAATTATTTTCATTACCAAATTTTTTACGTGGATTCAAATATTTTCATAAATAATAAGAATCATCGCAGAATTTTATAAACAGCAAAAATTCTTGGCTGAAATTCAATTATTTAAAAAAAATTTAATAAAATTCTACCCAAATATTCAATTATTTCCAGAAATAATAAAAATTCCTCAGGATTTTAATTATTTACAAATTTTTTCTAAATTTCTTCGCAATAATTCAATTATTTTTATAAATAATAAAACTGTTCTCGGGAATTTAATTATTTTCATAAACAATAAAATTCATAGCAGGATTTTAATTATTTTTGATACAATTTTAATCAAATTCCTCGAAAAAAGTAATTATTCTTAAAAATTTTATTAAAATTCGTTAGAAGAATTCAATTATTTAAAAATTTTGTTGACAAAATTCTTTGAGAATTCAATTTCAAGAAACATTCAATTATTCAATAAATTATTTTATTTTGAATTCAAATAATTGAATTCTCGTTAAATTTTCTAATAAAATTCGATTTAAAAATGAATTTCCAAATAATCGATTTATTATTTTTGAAAACAATTGAATTCTTGCAATGAATTTTATTACATATTTTTCAAATAATTGAATTCTTTTGAGAAATTTTACTACTTGTAAAAATAATTGAATTCTGGTCAAGCATTTTATTAAGATTTTTGTAAATAATTTAATTTTTTTTGAAAAATTTTATGATAATTTAAATTATTTCAAGACATGAAGACAAAATTATTTTCGAATAATTTTACAATTAATGAAATTTGTAAATAAATGTAATAGAATGTTGAGTATCTAATAATTTTTAGAGTGAATCAAAATATTCTTTAGGGTCAGGGAAAAAGTGAAAATTATGTCTGGAAATTAGAGTAAAGTCAGGGATAAACAAAATTAAATATTTATGGCAACCCTGTTTAATTATTACAGTATTAAATTATTTTTGACAGTAAATTATTTTTTCTACCAAGTGTAATTATATGAAATATTTGTTTCAGGTACACATTGGAAGTGGATTTGAATTTTCATTAAAATGTCTACTACATAATGAAAATTTTATTATATAATAACAAATGCAGAATTCAAGTACATTCACTGAAGAAAACTTCAAGGATTTCCTTCTTTTTATGATAAAAGAAAATTCTTCAACCCTAGAAATAGTGAAATTGCCTAATACCTAATATTAGATCCAGGCCACTTCCACAGTGAGCGAATAAAAAATTGTATATTTATTTTAAAGAAAAAAAAAGGAAATTTCGCAAGGATTTAAGAGGCGAAAAAATAATTATTAATAAATTTTGACTCAATGAAAATGAACAGCCGAATTAAGGAGACAGAGTCAAAATGGACCTGTGAATATTGTACATATGAAAATTGGCCGTCATCATTAAAATGTACAATGTGCCGAGGTGCAAAACCATTGCTCGGCGAGGATATTTATCGTTTAAGAAATCCAAGTCCACAAAGATCGGGCTCGAGTGTTGCATCGGGTCCAGTGCCACATTCGACCGATTCATATAATGTGGATTCACAAAATTGTAGTCAAAATGTTCCCTCTGGTGGAAAGTGGTCCTGCGATATGTGTACCTATCTTAATTATCAAAATGCACCACGTTGCGTTCAATGTGGCAATCGAAAACCGAATAATACACAACAACAACAATCAGTGCACTCGATAGCGTCAAATCTTCATGAGCAATTAGCGCCATTAAGACTCGGTGATCCACCACCACCACCATCATTACCCAAGACTGGATCAAATTCAAAACTTAATCAGCCAGCAATTAATTTACATCCTGAACGCTATAGTAATTCATCGAATCCAATTGTCGCTGAGAAATGGTCATGTTTTTTTTGTACTTATGAAAATTGGCCAAAATCAACAAAATGCGTTATGTGCGGTCATCAAAAGGAAAAGGATCGAAGGGATAAGTCGTCGACAAATTTAGGTCTTATTTTACCGAGTCCAGAGAGAGAACACAGCCAAAGAGGTTTACCGTCACCTCCTCACACGCCTTATGTTCATCAAGCCCAACGGGATGAGAATTTAGCGATTGCCAGAAGGTTTGTTTTTATTGAAATTTGCATTTTTATTATTTTTATATTTTATATTATACATTTTTATTTTTTTAAAGTTTTACTCGTGCAGAATTTCACATAAATAAAGGCTTATTGAAATATTATCGAAAGATAAATTCGAATATTATAAATAATAATAGCAGGGCTCGAACTAGGTCAGTAAATTTGCTTGAAGTTCGTAAAAGTCATTTTTTTAAAAAAACGGTCCATAAAGTCCGTAATTTGATTAAAAAAGCACGAAAAAATCGTAAATTGTACTAAATAATTTGGAGAATTTTAGAAAAATTTTACAAATATAATTGCAGAAATTCAATTATTTTCAAAAGTAATAAAATTTTCACAGGAATTCATTTATTTAAAATACAAAATTTCATAAAATTTTTCGCAAAATATAAAGGGTCAAAAATTTTTTTAAATTCTGGTCAAAATTTTAATTTTTCTTATGAATAAGCAAATTCTTCTCTGAAATTCAATTAGTTGCAAAACTTTTAGTAAAATTCTTGACAAAATTTCAATTATTTTCAAAAATTTTATTAAAAATTTTGAAAATAATTAAATTTTGGAGAAGAATTTTAATAGAATTTTCCAAAAGATTTCAATCATTTAATAAAATTCTACGCAAACATTTAGTTAATTTCATAAAATAATAAAAAATTTCATAGGAATTCAATTATTTATAAATCGTTTATAAATTTCTTAGCGATAATTCAATTAATTCAAAAATAATAAAATTCTTTTTAGGAATTCAATTATTTTCATAAATAATAAAACTCATCAAACAATTTCAATTTTTTTTATTACAATTTTAATAGAATCCCTCAAAAAATGTTAAACATTTTACTGAAATTCATAAATAAAATTCAATTATGTTCAAAAATTTTTAAAAAATCTGGTCAAAATTTCAATTAACTTTACAAATTAATAAAATTCTTTTCTGAAATTTAATCATCTAAATATATTCAAAAATTTTCCTCAATTTAATTATTTTCAATTTCTACGATTTTAATAAAATTTTCCAAAAGAATTCAATTATTTAAAAAAAATTTTGATAAAATTCTACGCAAACATTAAATTATTTTCATAAGTAATAAAAATTTCACAGGAATTTAATTATTTACAAATTTTTTATAAATTTCTACGCAATAATTCAATTATTTTCATAAGTAATAAAATTTTTTTTATGAAATAAATTATTATCATAAACAATAAAACTCATCGAAGAATTTCAATTATTTTTAATAGAATTTTAATCAAATTCCTCGAAAAGTATAATTATTCTTAAAAATTGTATTAATTAAAATTCGTCAAAGGAATTCAATTATTTCAAAATTTGTTGATAAAATTCCTTATGGGCATTCAATTTTAATTTATTTTTGTATTTGAATAATTGAATTCTAGTAGAATTTTTTAATAAAAATTGATTCAGAAATAAATTTTATTTAAAATTTTTGATAATAATTCAATATTAAAAGCATTAAAGCGTAAATTTTTAGAAATAATTAAATTTTGAAAAGGTTTCAAATTAAAATCTTTGAAAATTAAATTTTTTTATACTTTTAACTAACAGTTCTGTGAAATTAATTTTGTTGAAAAGTTTAATTGCGGATTTTTTAATATTATTTAATGTTCTTATTTAATTGAATAATTTAATATAATCTTATTGAATTGAAGAATTTCGGAGTAATCGATGAATACTAAAATTCTTCTCCAAAATCCAATTATTTAAAAAAATTTTAATAAAATTCATGAGAAAATTTCAATTACTTTATAAAAAACTTTCCTGAATTCAATGATTTTCAATATCTACTATTTTAATAAAATTTTACAAAAAAGAATTCAATTATTTAAAAAAATTTAATAAAATTCTACACAAACATTTAATTATTTTTATAAAATAATAAAAATTTCACATGAATTCAATTATTTTCATAAATATTAAAATTTTTACAAGGATTCAATTATTTTCGTAATTATAATAAAATTCTTTTCTAAAATTCAATTATTTCCAAAAATTTTAAGAAAATTCTTGAGAAAATTTCAAGTATTTAAAAAAATTTTCCTGAATTCAATGATTTTCAATATCTACTATTTTAATAAAATTTCCCAAAAGAATTCAATTATTTAAAACAATTGTGGATAAATTTCGACGCAAACATTTAATTATTTTCATAAATAATAAAATTTGTTCAAGGATTTAATTATTTTCGTGAAACATAAAATTTTTCTTAGGAAATCAATTATTTTCATAATAAAACTCATTGCAGAATTTAAATTATTTTTAATAGAATTTTAATTGAATTCCTCGAAAAATGTATCTAATTATTCTTAAAAGTATTATTACAAGTTGTCTAAAGAATTCAATTATTTAAAAATTTGTTGATAACTTTTTTTATGAGAATTCAATTTTAAGAAACATTCAATTATTCAATAAATTATTTATCTTTGTATTTAAATAATTGAATTCTCGTAGAATTTTCTAATAAAAATTGATTTTTATGTTCTAATGTATTATAAATTGTAGAAAATAATAATTGAAATGAAATGAAAATAATTTTGATTAAGATACAGAGTAAGAATATTCTTAGAATATTAAATAATGGTTTAAACACTCGGCTATTTTTAATTATTATAAAACATGAAGAAATCGATTTTTTTTTTTTTTGCTTTTGTAAGAAAAAAATTTAATTTCTAGTTAAATAAGTAAACTGTTTTTTTTTTTGTCAGTAATTGGTCCGTAATTTTTCATTTTTGGTCCTTAAAGTCCGTATTTTTAATTACTTTCACTGGTTCGAGCCCTGTTATAGTTTAATAATAATTTCATGATAATAATACTATTTTGTTATTTCAGTCGGAGTTCTCATAGATTCGAGAGTAGAAACGACAGTCTTCCTACGCCTCAGTCTCCAAATAATTGCGATTATGAACGCAGACTTAAGCAATTCAGACGTGCGGATTGGTGCTGGTTGAATGCATGTCTTGGCATTGTGGAGGGTGACAATGCACCGGTCGAGGCTTACCTGGCAAGTGGCGGTGATCCTGCTCGTCAATTAACGCATTCCGAGGTTTTGCTCTTAAACAGAAGCAGTGCTTTTGATGTAGGACACACTCTAGTTCATTTGGCTATCAGGTTTGTATCTTTCTTTTTTATCTTTTACTATAAAAATTACAATTTTAACTCAAAATTGCAATTCGAGAAAAAAAGTCCAGCCTTCACACATATTGTATTTTAATGAATAATTTTTCTTTCTTTTTAGATTTCAACGCGAAGATATTTTAGCAACATTATTGTCGCAAATCGAGGGATCTGGTTCAGGAATCAAGAGAGTACCAAGTTATGTTGCACCAGATTTGGCTGCTCAAATTCGTAGACACGTGATGAATAGCATTCGATTGCGAAAGGGTTCAATTCCGTGTTATTTTGTCACGGACATGGCTACATTTTCTCTGCCTTCTGAGGTTCGTCAACTATCGTATTATTTCAAATTTATTATTTTGATAATAATTTAGTTATATTAATTTTTAATTAATTAATTATTTAGTTATATTAATTTTTAATTAATTAATTATTTAGTTATATAATTAGAAAAATAAATATAAATGATAAGTTAAATAAACAAAATGAATATTTAGATAAATATTAGATTAGATTTTAAAGTCGCTGCAAAATACCTATATTTAATATAAAATCTGAAATAATTTTGAAAATTCAAGTACATTATTTAATTTTACTGTTTAAGAATATGCAATTGTTTATTTTGAAGAAATGAAAGTAATTTGAGAAAAAAAATTGTTTAGGTGGAAGATTTACCGAGTATTGTTCAGGAGCAAATGTTGGAGGAACTTCTGGATAGGGAAGCACAGCAACAACTTGAAGGAGGCGGAGGTGAACCACCAGCTTTAAATTGGTCTTTAGAAATAACCGAAAGGTTGGGGAGTCGTTTGCATGCATTATGGAACAGATCGGCGGGAGATTGTTTATTGGATTCGGTAATGCAAGCCACTTGGGGTGTTTTCGATAGGGATAATGCTCTCCGACGAGCGCTCGCTGATACGCTACAACAAGCTGGACAATTGTGAGTAAATATATTAATTTTATGTCCCAGGACAAAATATATTTTTAAAATTATGTATTACATTTTTAATTTCATAATTTAAACTATTAATTGAATTTTTAATTTAATAATTATATTTTTAATTGAATCGAATTGTTTTTTATTTTTTAATCTAATTACTAAATTAGTAAATTTTAAGATTGATTTCAGAATTGACGATCAATTTATTAGGGTGAAGAAACGAAAAAATTTGTAATCTTTCAAGTAAATAAGACTTGAAAAGTAATTTGGATTTCACTTATTTTGTTAATTTTCAGCTTTTATCCACGTTGGCGAGAATACGAGGCATCACAAGCTTCAAGAATGTTAGACTTTACGTTAGAAGAAACTCAATGGCAGGAGGATTGGGAAAATTTATTGGCAACTGCAGCTCAACCTGGAAGCGCTCTAGAGCAATTACATGTGTTTACATTGGCACATATTCTAAGGCGGCCGATAATTGTCTACGGTGTTAAATACGTCAAAAGTTTTCGCGGTGAAGATATAGGTAAAGTTTGTTAATTCTTTTTCCTTTTTAAATTGTTCGAATAATTTCTTTTTTGAAATATTCAGACTCTTCTTCAAAATTCTTCTCTTTTCCCTATTCTTCTATTTTATAAAAATATTCTATTTTTTCAAATTATTCTCTTTAAAATATTTTTTAAACAATATTCTCTTTTTAAAATATTCTTCAGACTTGCCACAGGTCTGGGAATTCAGGGAAAAGTCAGGGAAAGTAGAATTAGTCAGAGAAATCAGGAAAAAATCCAGGGATTATTATCAAAAGTACTGGAAAAAATTAATTTTTTAGAATTCATAAGGAATCCAGAATTTTGGTGTCTTTTTTGTTTGCTTCACAAACAATGAAATTATTTTTATAAATAATAAAATTCCTTTTAAGAATACAGTTTAATTAAATTAGTGCAATTTTAATTAATTTTCTACACTTTCAACAATTTTAATGAAATTTTTTGAAAGATTTCAATCATTTTCATTAATGATAATTTTCTTCGCAGCATTTCAATGATCTTCAACACAATTTTAATGCAATTTTTCATAACAATTCAATATTCTAATGTACAATAAAATTCTTCGAAACAATTAAATTATTTTCAAAAATGTTTCATAAAATTCTTCACAAAAATTCAAAACTTGTCATAATTAATGAAATTTTTAGCAAGAATTCAATTATTTTCTCAAATATTTAATAAAATTTGTCGAAAAATTTCAATTATTATAAAAAATGTTGATAAATTTTCGATAATAATTTATAATAATAATTTGTTTATTAATTCTATAATAAAATTTTTCGAAAGAATTGAATTATTTTCATAAATAATAAAATTGTTTTGAAAAGAATTCAGTTATTAGCAAAAATTTTTGAAAATTTTTGTATATAAATTTAATTATTTCGAATTCAATTCTATTAAAAAATTTTGAAAGAATTGAACTATTTTCGTAAATAATAAAATTTTTTTGAAAACAATTCAATTATTATTAAAAATTACCATAAATTTCTTTACAAAAATTTAATTAATTTCGAATTCAATTCTAATAAAATTTTTCGAAAGAATTGAATTATTTTCATAAATAATAAAATTTTTTTAGGAATTCAATTATTTTTATGAATAACAAAATTCTTGTTAGGAATTCAATTATATTTTTAAATTAATAATAAAACTCATCCCAGAATTTCAATTATTTTTAATAAAAATTTAATCGATTTCTTTGGAAAATGCAATTATTCTTAAAATTTTTATTACAAATCGACAAAAAAATTCAATTATTTTAAAATTTGTTGATAAAATTCTTTATGAGAATTCAATTTTAAGAAACATTCAATTATTCAATAAAATAAATATATTTTTTTATTTAAATAATTGAATTCTAGTAGAATTTTCTAATAAAAATTTATTTAAAATTAAGTATTAATTTAATTAATTAAGTGATTAAATATTTATTCCGAAAGAAGTTATTGATATTTTCAATTAATTTTACTTATGAATAAATTAGTAAATAAATGTATAGAACATTCTTTTGAGTATCTAATAATTTTTAGAATGAATCAGAATATTCTTTGGGTTCAGAGAAAAAGTCAAAATTTTTTCTGGAATTTAGGGAAAAGTCAGGGAAAAACAAAATTAAATTTTTGTGACAGTCCTGTTTTTTTTTCAAAATATTCTCTTTTTTCAAAATAATAGTCTTATCTTTTTTTGTAGGATATGCAAGATTTGAAGGAGTTTATCTACCATTATTGTGGGAGCCATCGTTTTGCATAAGATCTCCAATTGCTTTGGGTTACACGCGAGGTCACTTTTCGGCTTTGGTACCTATTGAACCATATTCATCATCAAGAATACCGCCTCTAGCTTCACACGCGACTGGAATCGGTGGTGGAAATAGTCCAATTCAACAACTACAAATACAAATACAAACAACCTTTATGCCTCTCATGGACCGAGAGAGAAAATTACTTCCAATACATTTTCTCAGTCCCGAAGAAATGGGTCGCGAGGAGAATATATTAAAACAATGGCTGGATGTTTGTACCACCGAAGGCGGTATTTTGGTAGCGCAACAAAAACTTCACAAAAGGCCGCTTCTTGTCGCGCAGATGCTTGAGGAATGGCTCAATCATTATCGGAGACTAGCGTGAGTAATTACAACTCTTTTCTTCTTCGGGTAATTGAACAAAAAAAAAAAAAAAAAAAAAAAAAATTGTTATTAACAGTAATCTTAGTAGATATAAAAGATTACTATTTTTGTTTTGTTTTTCTTCTTCTTTTTTTTGGAAATATTTTTATTTTATTATTATTATATTTTATTATTATATTATTTTAAGTGAATATTTTTTTCTTTTTGGTGATTGCTCTTTGTAAATCTTTTTAAAAAGTATAATTTTTGAGCATTGCGTTAATCTTTAGTCAATTTAAGAATATAGCTTTAACACATCGTCGTAATTATCCTCTTTTTTTACAGTAGAAAAAGCTTTTCTCTTTTTAGTTTATAAGCAGCGAATTTATGTTTTGAAAAATTAACGGCGAGTGTGAGATATATATTTTTTTAAATTCAAAATTGTAGAAATCTAGTCTGCTTGAAAAAGGAAAAAACAATTTTTAAGACGGAATATTTTGCGACATAATTTGAAACTTTAAAAGTTTTTACAAAAAATCAGATTCGAAAGAAAAATTGTAAAATAGTTTGAAAAAACCTAGTAGTACCTAGTATTAAATTCTATGAAAAAAAACTATGTAGAATTATAAACAAAATATTTTGGTCTTATTAATATATTATATAGAAATGTGAGGAAATTGAGAGAAAGAGAATGAGTGAGAGAGAAGTTTTAAAAAATAATGAAGTTTGATCTTCAATTTCGATATTTTGTTACTATTGAATTTTTTTTTAATTTATCGTTATGAAGAGTAAACGGGAAAAGTTTATTGTATTGAAAATTTTATTGCACTTCGACATTGTTTTGGAATTTATCTATTATTTGCTTATTCATTCATTTTTTAAATTTCAGTTTATTTTTCTTTTATTTACTTTTCCCGGATACACTTTAGAAAATTTTAGATGAAAAACAAAATCATTGCACTTTATTTGCAAGATTTAAAAAAAAATGGTATTATATTGACATAAAAATAATGTCCAATTTTACAGGAGTGTATTGTTGATTTTTATGATTAATTATTGGTTTGGTCGTTGTTTAAATAAATAATTCAGAGAGTAAATTATGAAAAAAAAGGTTTTTGAGAATTTATTTTGTAAGAACAGGACCCATCGGAGATTTATTTTCAGTACTGAAAAACTTTCCTTTGTTTTTATTTCCTTCTTTTTTGTTATACTTTGAATACTGCATATAATTCGAATAATTTGAATACTTTGAAATTTGAGTAAAAAATTAAAAAAAGAATTTATATTTAAATTGAAAAAAGAGAATAAATTAATTTAAATATTTAATTTGAATGAAAATTAAATTTGATTATTAAAAAAAAATTCTATTAAATTTACTAATTCTTTCTAAAGTATTAGATTAGTAAAATAATTTTTTTTCGTAATTAAAAATTCAGGAGGGATAAAAGGATGTGTTCTTTGTTTTGTTTGTTTAGTCAGACGAACAACGCACCATTTTCGAGAGCAGCTACACTTCAGGATTATAGCAGTGACGGGGATACGGAGGATGAGTAACAAAAAGCCTCTTCATGAGAAACAAGATTTTAGCCAAAGTGTTAATAATGAAAATTTCTTAATTTTCTGTCAATCAATTTTAATCTATAAAACAAAAACAAACAAAAAACAGAAAAGAGATTTAAGGCAGCAAAAATATTTTGATCAATGATCATGACTCGTCTCACTGATGATAATTTTTTTTATCACAGTAAAAGCACATAGAGTTTTTTTTCTAAAAAAAAACTTTGACAAAAAAAATATTTAAATAAAGCACGAATTCCTATTGATTCGCGCTTTTGATTTTTTTTTTTTTTTGTAAAAATGTCAAACAATCGATGAAAATAGTTTTTAATTGAAAAAATTCGGCTCTTTTAGACCCCGTAAAAAATTAGATTTTTTTCTAGAAATCGTATAGTTGAAAAATGCTTCTTTTTATTCGATTGCAGAATTTTTTTTTTATTTCTAAAACTATAAAATATTTTTTTATTATTTAATGCTTTAACTTTATATTTTTTTAGCTTTAAGGAGACATTCTTTCCTAGTTGCTTTATTACAATTTAGGAAATAATTTCTCTAGTGTACAAAGTATAAAAAGAAAAATACAGATTCTCATTGGATTCAGCATCGACGAGTTCTCGAGATGAATAAGATTTTTAAAAAATTTTTTTTGTTTTTATATACACATATATATATTTATGTTTTGAGAAAAAGAATTGTAAAAAAAGTTATGTTAAAAAAAATCGTAGGAAAAATGTTGTCAATTACAGTCTTTTTGTTTGGAGAAAAAAAATTTTTTTCCACTTATAATGTACATTTTTTTTGTTGAGAATGAATATAATTTAAATCTTCTTTAGGTAAAAAGGAAAAGCTTTTTAAAAGTAGTTATTGTTATTAAAAATTCGTTCGAGTAGAAATCGACGGTAGGACAAAAGTTTAGAATTAAAATTTAAAGTGTGTCTTAAACTAACTGTTAAATAATTAAAATAATCTCATGTCCTATTGTTATACAAAAATTATTATTTTCTAAAGAAAAAGAATATTCATTTAATTAAAAATTAAAAATATATTAAATTTAATTCGAAATTATTGAGATTGTAAAAAAATTGAAACATCTGAAAATTACGTAATTTGTCAGAATTAGAAAAAAAGTACAAAAAAGTAAAGAGACACTTTACTTTGTAAATTTATTATTATTTATTATAAATTTTTCTTTTGTTTGCCGTATACATCAGTCTCTAGCGTCTAGTCTTTTTAGCACTTTCAATATTTTCAATTAATGAAAAAAATAAATAAAATAAAAATTATAATCTTTTACTGTCATGGATATAAATGATAAAAAATTGAAATCAGAGAATAATTATTTCCTCTGAAAATTCAAAATAATAATCTAGATTAATAATTAATGTAATTAATTATTAATTACATTAAATCGTGTCTCCTTGGGTGCTCCATCCACATATTTGTTATTTAATTTTTTAAACTTTACAATATAAGAAAAAGAACTTTAAACACAGCGAAATTAAAAAAAAAAATCTAGAAGTTTTTCTGTCCAATTTAGTGTATGTTGCTTGACAAGTGATACAGTAAAAGAATTCAAAAGAATAAAAAAAAAGAAATAAAAAAAAAGATTGAAACAAATAGAAGTCTATATATAAATAAATGAATAAATAAAAAAATATATATATATATTAATAACATAGAGATATATAAAATGAAATATATTGAATAATATAAATAATTCTAAATGACGATTGATTATTATTATAACTACTATATAATTATTATAAACGCCGTAATAAGAGATATTGAAAATCATATATATATATAAATATATATATAATATATATATTATATATATAATAAAAAATCAGCTGACTTAAGATTCTTGAAAATTTGATATCTTTTCATTTTATTCCTCTTGTGATTTTAATTTAATTAATTAATTAATTGTATTTAATTATTATTAATACTCATAACTCTTTATTGAATTGAATTAATATTGAATTATTAATTGTTTATTGAATTATTAATACTCATTTATTGTTAAATTATTTTTTACCTATTTTACAGTTTAAATATTTTTTAGTACTCAATATTTTTACATATTTTATTAATTTATTCAATTTATAATTTAACTAATGCATTTATTAATTTGTGATTTATTAATTTATAGTTTAAAGTGAGAAATTTGAATATTCGTTTTATAAAGTTGGTATACGTGTAAGAAAGGTTAGGGAGTTTGATAATTTTAGGTTGTCAACACTGCTCATTGCAATGGCAGCGACAGAAAGAGAAAGAATTGTGTTTGGAAAATAGAAATAAAATCGAGTTAATTTGTTTGTATTTTAGCATTAATTATCAATATTCATCAATAATTAAATAAATCTTTGTGCATGGAATCGATAAAACATAACAGTTTAATCATCAGCTAGTAGTAAAACTGTTATATTTAGATGAAATTTTTCTGACAAGAAGATAACCTCAAATTTTAACGTAAATTTTATCTTGCTGTTCACAGTACTGAATTCTGAATTCAAGAAAGAAAATATTCAAATAGTTTAAAACAGGTAAGTTCGTTTAATCATTAATTTTTAATTATTTTATAGTTTAATTTATTTTCGAAAAGAGTTATTTAATTTTTCCAAGTGGAACGTGAAATATTTCATGGTTTACATGTTTAATACTTTTATATATTTCTTCAAATAGAGCTTGTTAAATTTAATGAAAATAAAGTTATTTTATCAATAAAGGTTTTAAATTAACTTTTATAATTTATTATTAGATTGCAAATTAAAATAAATTGTTTAAAAAAGGGAATGCTACAATGAAATTTTTAAGTTGGTAGGATTGAACGAAAGGTTAGAAATTTGATGATCTTAGGTTGGCAACTCTGCTCGTTGCAATATGGCGACGTCGTGTCAGAGAGTGAAAACGTTTGTGTTATTGGAAAAGAAATAAATATATTCAAATTGTTTAAATTCTAGTGGTAATTATTAATATTTCGCAATAATTAAATACATCTTTGTATAAAGAATCGATATTTCATAAAAGTTTATTCTTAAAAAGCAGCGAAATTCTGGTATTTGAAACAAGTTCTATCGACAAAAAACTAACCTCAAAATTTTAATAGTTAATGTTTCATTTTGCTGTTTTTATTCTCATTTGTTTTTATTATGGAGTTAAATAGTAAAAAAACGTAATATTATTGGTTTAAATAGGTAAAAGTATAATTTTTTATTGTTTTATTGTATAAAAAAGTTATATTTTGCAGATAAAATATATTTTCAAAAAGTGGAAGAAATATTTGTGTTGAAAAAGAAGTAAATCGTATAAAATTCTTTAAATTTTAGCAGTAATTATCAATGTTATATATAATGTACAATTTTGCTTAAAAAATGAATAATTCTCGAAAACTTTTTATATAATGTACAATTTTGCTTAAAAAATGAATAATTCTCAAAAACTTTTGTGAGCTAAGCTAGCAGAGAAATTAGTATATTTAGTTAAAACAATTTTGAGTAAAAATAACAAGAAATGTCCTCAAAATTCTAATATTAAGTGTATTAAAATATATTTCACATTGTTGTCGCTAATTACTGCTTAAGATCAATATTCGAAAGACGGGATATTTTTTAACAGTTCGAATTAATTCTATAGATAAAATAATTGTTTCTCTTTATTTCCCTTATGTTGGTAAAAAAGATTTTTAGTTCTCTTTGTTGTCGTTAGGTGTCACTACAAACTAAAGTTAAATTTATTTACAAAAGTGACATTTATATAAATTTGTTTTGCGATAAAGAATGTTTTTCTTTACTTAATATTTAAACATGTTCTTTGCAAAATACAAAAGGTTTTTTAATAATTACATTTAATTTTGTCTATATTATCCATATTTCAATTAAATTATGCGGTGCGAATATTAATTTTTCGTAAAAATGCGATTAAGCTTAAAAACATAACCTCAAAATTTATAGTCGCACTTGTTCAAATATATTAAAAATTAAAAAAATATTATTGTTATGCAAATTACAAAATTTTTTATTTTCAAATATACATTTTTTAAATAATTTCATAATCAAAATTAAAAAAATTCACTTATTAAGAACAAAATTAATTATTATTATAAACAATTCAATTATTTTTTTAAATAGTAAAATATTTACAAAATTCAATTATTTTCAAAACAAATTTAATTGAATTCCTGGGAAGAATTTAATTTTTAAAAAAAATTTTAACACATTACGAAGAAATTCAATTTTTTTTCTAAAATTTTAATAAATCCTTCGAAAAAATTCAATTATTTTTATGAATAGTAAAATTCTTCGCAAAAATTCAATTAATTTTATAAATAGTAAAATTCTTTGCAGGAATTCAATTATTTTCAAAACAATTTTAATTGAATTCCTCGGATGAATTCAAATATTTTAAATATTTCCATAAATTTCAATTATTTCCTAAAATTTTAATAAATTTTTTGAAACAATTCACCTATTTTTATAAATACTAAAATTCTTTGCAGGAATTAAATAATTTTTAAACCAATTTAAATAAAATTACACGAAAGAATTGAATTATTTTCAAAAATTTCCATAAAATTCAATTTCAACAAGAATTTTCAAATTCTCTAAAAATAATTCAATTATGCTCAAAATATTTTAAAAAAATTCTGCATAAAAGTTAAATTACTTTCAATGCAATTTTTAAATATATTCGTCAAAAAAATTGAAAGAATTCAATTATTTTCAAAAAATAAAAAAATTCTTGTGATGATGAATTCAATTATTTTGAATATACTTAATTTATATTCAATTATTTTCGAAACAATTTTAATTGAATTTCTGGAAAAAATCGAAATATTTTTAAATATTTCTATAAAATTCTTCATAATAATTTAATTATTTCTTAAAATTTTAATAAATTCTTCGAAACATTTAAATTATTTTTATAAATAGTAAAATCCTTTGCAGAAATTCAATTCTTTTCAAAACAATTTTAATAGAATTCCTCAAAAGGATTTAATTTTTTTTCAAATATTTACATAGAATTCATTTATTTTCTAAAATTTTAATAATTTCTTCGGAACAATTCAATTATTTTTATAAATAGTAAAATTCTTCGCGAGAATTCAGTTATTTACTTTTTATTGCTATTGATTATTATTTTTTTAACAGAATATTAGCACAAAAAGTTAAAATTTTTTAGTTATTTATATTTATTATTATTAAGTAAAATGATTGTTATTTTTTTACAGAAGTGAAGATTGAAGAATAAGAAAAGATATTGATGACACAAAAGACGATTTCCGCCCTCACAATGTTTGGAAAAGATTCAATAAATTTTTGGACTATTGGAAAGAATTATCGTCGTGGATTCAGGTGGAAGTGGTGGAGAATTATAAGGTATTGTGTCAACAAACATTTTCATCTATTCGTAAGTCTCTCTTGTCTTCAATATTCTGTCGAAGACAATTTGTAACATTGAAAATTTTCCAGTGACAAAAAATTAAACAAATGCAATTAAATTAAATTTTAACATATTTTTTCAAACAAAAAAGCGAATTTTAGGTAATATTTATTATTTACATTTTTTTTAGAATTATATTTTCTTTCGTTAAAAGTCAATTATTGCCTAATAATTGCCTCTCAATATTTATTACTTTTGCACTTTAAAGCTTTTTTATCACAACCGATTTTTTATTTTATTTTCGATATCGTTAACAATATTTTATTCACATTTTTCAATTATTGAAAAATCTGAATGTTTTCTAAAGAAATACACAATTTTGAATACTGGGTATTTTGAAGTATTTTAGTATTTTATTTACTATTTTGAAAAATACTTTACAAAAAAGTATTTTATTTTTTTGAGATTTTCTCGACCTTTGTCTAAAAATATATTTATAATTGCCACTTTAATGCGCACGGAAATAATTAAATTTTTATCCGAATTATTTTTTTCCGCATACACTTGTCG